CCTCAAGCATTTGTGATACCCTGTTAATCACTGTGATTTGTTGTGTGGCATTTTTTTTATATGGGGTCCCTCATTTGGGCAGTGCTAAATGCTTCCCTTGACACCTCCAGGTCAGGATGCGCTGGACTAATGGGCTTTCTTCCTCTTCGAACATAACATGCAGTGGGGAGATTTATTCAACATTCTCCCCATTACCAGTATAGGAGGGGACCCTTAGCCACCCCTTAGCCCAGGGGTGCTCAACCTGTGGCCCTCCGAGCCCTCTGATGTGGCCCTCAACCTCAAACAAGGGAAGCACATGCCCAGGGTCAGCAATCCGTTGATTGTGATTTGGGCTTGCCAACCCACTATCCCAAAGCATTAGAGTGCATGGAGCTGGCTCTGGCAGCGAAGGAAGCAGGCGGCCACGGAATGAGCAGAAGCGACATAAGCTGATGCTTCCTCTGTAGTCTCGGCTCCTGTCCCAGGCAGAATGATACCAAGTACACTTCACCTGGGATCTTACTAGCAGCCTGGAGATGGAGAGCAATGCCAGCAGAATCTAGAAGAGGAAAAGAAGGGCAGTGCATTAAACTGTGCTTTTGCAATAGGCATACTAACACCTATAAAAGGTTTAACAACTATTAGGCTGCTGTCACACTGAGCCGTGGATGGAGAGCAGTGCATCTGCAGCTTTCCTGCAAGTTAGTTGCACTGAGCCACAAACTTCTATTGTATCCTGCTGATTCGGTGCACTTTCTGAAAGTGTACCACACACACAAAATGTAATAGAAGTCTGTGGCAAAGCGCAGCTTACCTGCAGGTGCACTGTGCTGTACCTGTGGTGCAGGTAAACTGCAGCGCATCAGTGTGAAATCAGCCTTATAGGGGGCACAGGACAGTAAGGGCTCATTTACATTTGCGATTTTGGGGGTAGTAAAACCCCATACTTGAGATTTGTTTTTACTATACCCCCCCCAAACTAATACTGTAGTGTACTGGCCCGCCCCATGCGATCTCCCTGTCACATTCTATTGTGCACTTGGACAGGAGGGACGTTGGGGGTGGCATAAACAGGAACCAATCCTCTCCATTTTCCTTCTCCTCCTCTCTCTCCTGTTGGCATTCAGTGGACGACACAGGTAAAAAAATAATTTTTTTGGATATTAACATTTCCAAGGGACAAGGGGGACACTTGGAGAGTAGCCTCTTTAGGAAGGAAACTGCTGGCAATATCATCTTGCATGTCAGCAGCTTTCATCTGGAGCCCTTGAAGAGATCCATCCTGTATAGTCAATTTTTACGTATCAGATGTAACTGTACACATGAACGGGTGTTTCATAAAGAGGCAGATGAGCTTACAAAAAGATCACTAGCATAAGGATACACAAAAACACGTCTTAAAAAGACTTTTAATCGTGTAAAAAATTTGGATAGACATGATCTTCTACTCAAGTCCAATGACCATCAAATAACTAATAAGTAGGAAGTTAGGGTCATTCTTAAATACTCCAATGAACATGCAAAAATAAGATAGATATTACAAAATCATTGGTCTGTCTTGGCAGGAGACCCGATCATTGGTAACCTAGTAGGCGACAATCCCTCAATTACCTACAAAAGGGCAAGGTCCTTAAAAGACCTTCTAGTACAAAGTGAATATAGGGGGAATTAGAGACATGATCCATGCAAATATGCTGGCCCTTTCTCTTGTGAAGGATGTGCACATTGTCCCTATCTAAGTAACAAAAAACACTTCACTCTCGCTAATGAAGAGAAATTTATCTCCAGACATTTTGTCAACTGTCAAATGGGGTAGTATACATTATGCAATGTGAATGTGGATCTTTTTATGTTGGTAAAACGTACCTGTCTTTTTTCTTTTCCTTGCCCCAAGGTTTCTAAATGTCAAATCCTCCTAGTTCATTTACATTTTGACTTCCTCATGGGGGATATTCCCTTATGAATATATCGCAAAGATTGTTTTACATGTACTTGTGTTGCATTACAAAACTATGTGATGTACTATTTGGATTGTATGATAATTTTTGTGAAGTTTTAGAACTGTACAAGTGTCTTTGATGTGGGAGCTTTTGTTTGCCTTCTTTGATAGGGATGTCTCCATTCTGTGTGCCCGACACAGAAAGGGTCTCTCTCATCCGTGTTCAATGGAGTGGGACCTATTTATGGCCAAATAGAGCAATGGGGCCAGGTGCCCACACTAGGGGAGGTACTGTTCCTTTCCCTTTAGCTCTCATGCACAGTCATGTGCAAGCCATGTCTCTCCGTGTAGGCAGCAGTCTCCAATATGGCGCCTGGAAGGTCAATGGAAGTACGTCATTCCAGAGCCGGACGTGATGTCAATGAGGTTAGCGCGTTCGCGTTCTCATGTTTTCCTCTATCTTCTTTGCTTCTTCGTTGTTGGTAGCCTGTCATTACAGAGCTCAATGAGGTTGAACATTGACTCCTCCTCCTATCACTATACGGCTCTATCTTAGATTTCAATTAGACAGGCATGCTTCTGTTGTACTCCTAAAGTGATCTGTCACATATTAAATATCTGTAAGAAAAAAAAGTGTATATGCACAGTAAACATAAAAAAAAAGAGATTAAAAACATTTTGATATCTCTTAAAGTGTATCCATAGCCAACACTTTGTTGTAGTTTTGGACAGCATAGGGAAAGGGTAAACCCCGGCAGGTTATTTTTTGCAATCTTTGTACTATTGGGGAATTTTTCTGTCACATCCCATCTCAGAGATGCAGCAGGATGTTATAGGAAATCCCAATATTAAGGGAAACTCTTGTCTTAGAGAGTATCACCAGAACAGGCTTCCCCACTGGAAGATTTTCCCTTATCTTTTATTCTGGGGATAACTCTAAAATGCTGCATTCCCCTCACAATTCAGCATTATACACTTACTACTACATGAAGGCCAGTGATATAAGCTTTTCAGCACAGTATATTTAAAGCCCAACTCTGGCCCCATCTAACCAAGTCAGGCCCTTGGTAGTAACTTATGCTTTATGTGTTCTAACACTACCTTTTCCATAGTCTCCAGGCCACTCATGTGATGTTGCGGGACCCTCTTCTACAGGCTGGCCAGTTCTGACTGATGACTCTCTACACCAATACACTGTGAATGAAGGAAGCTGTAATGACGCTCCCTTAGGGATCGGGGCCAGTGCACTCTGCACATACGGTTTACACTCAATCTTCTGGGTTAGGTGATGCTGAGTATCATTCAACTCAACAGTTGGAAAGCCTCTTGTGGTGAAGAAGAGGTACTGTGGGTGACAGCTCCAGAGTAAAAGTGAGTACCGTATTTGCCGGCGTATAAGACGACTGGGCGTATAAGACGACCCCCTACTTTTCCTGCTAAATGTAGTGTTTGGGCTATACTCGCCGTATAAGACTACCCCTCTTCCAGTGCACACCAGTGGGAGGAATAGTGCCCCATCATCGGTGTCAGTGGGAGGAATAGTGCCCCATCATTGGTATTAGTGGCAGGAATAGTGCCCCATCATTGGTGTCAGTGGGAGGAATAGTGCCCCATCATTGGTGTCAGTGGGAGGAATAGTGCCCCATCATTGGCATTAGTGGCAGGAATAGTGCCCCATCATTGGTATTAGTGGGAGGAATAATGCCCCATCATTAGTATCAGTGGGAGGAATAGTGCCCCATCATTGGTATCAGTGGGGGGAATAGTGCCCCATCATTGGTATCAGTGGGGGGAATAGTGCCCCATCATTGGTGTCAGTGGCAGGAATAGTGCCCCATCATTGGTATCAGTGGCAGGAATAGTGCCCCATCCTTGGTATCAGTGGCAGGAATAGTGCCCCATCATTAGTATCAGTGGCAGGAATAGTGCCCCATCATTAGTATCAGTGGGGGGAATAGTGCCCCATCATTGGTGTCAGTGGGAGGAATAGTGTCCCAACATTGGTGTCAGTGGGAGGAATGGTGTCCCATCATTGGTGTCAGTGGGGGGTGGAATAGTGCCCCATCATTGGTGTCAGTGGGGGGGGGGGAATAGTGCCCCATCGTTGGTGTCAGTGGGGGGGAGGAATAGTGCCCCATCCTTGGTATCAGTGGGAGGAATAGTGCCCCATCATTGGTGTCAGTGGGAGGAATAGTGCTCCATCATTGGTATCAGTGACACCAATGATGGGGCACTATTCCTCCCACTGACACCAATTACAGTTGCTGACCCTGTTCTAGTATGGTGCTGCTGCAGCCAGCATATGTGGTTGCAGCAGCACCTATACACTGAACACTTACCTGCTGCTCCGACACTTGATTTTCGCGGGGCCGCTCGGCTCCGCCCCCTCGCCGGTGATTGGCCGCCTGTGTGCCTTTCCTGAGCTACAGTTCTGGCGGCCAATCACCGGTGAGGAGTCGAGCGCACCGCGCCGCCCCCCTAAAAAGTGTCAGTATGCCGTATACCGGCATATAAGATGACCCCCGACTTTTGAGAAGATTTTCAAGGGGTAAAAAGTCGTCTTATACGCCGGCAAATATGGTATATCACCCTGAGCTGCTTTTTTTATTTATCACTACCTGGGGGACTATTGTAGGAGTGGGGCTTGAAGGGGCAAATATAACAAAGCGGAGTTCCAGACGGTTTTATGTTTATTAAAAGCCAGCAGCTACAAAAACTGTAGCTGCTGACTTTTGAAGTGTTACTAAACCCACAACAGTAAAATCAGCCTGTATCTGCAGTAAAGCATGCTTGTTATACTCACTGTGGAACCTAAGGGGTTAATCCTCTGCATTGTGTAAAAAGGCCATTTGATCCTGACTTCTCTGATCCTCCCCTTTTTCAAGCGACCACCTCTTATCTCCTGATAACACAGACTGAACCGTAGGCATTTTGCACATGCTCAGTTTGGTGTGTATTGCTAGAGACGTTTTATTTTTTTCTTAGGAAAGTGCATGTGATCAGCACAAGGCCAATCAACACTAGTCAGACAGAGGTCAGGGGTTTTGCATCCTCTCAGAGCAGAAAGAAAACTCCTCCTTTAGCTAGTGCTTTGCTGAATACTGATAGAAGTCACAAGTCTGCTATATACTGCTGATGATACTAAATTAATTGCATTTCCATGTTCTGTGTACTGTGGGAGACCAGATATAGTGGATGCAGGGTCCTGGGATTAGTAACACTTTAATAGACACACAATCACCTGTCCCAGTGTCCAGCGACGTGCTCACCCGCGCCGTCCCTTCTCTTCTCTCTTCTTCTCTCCCCAGTGCAGGCATCTCAACTGTGGGCACCAGGCGGTGACAGCTTGAGGCTTCACAGCTGGGTGCCCACTGCGCATGCGTGAGTCATGCTGCACATCCTGATTGGTCCGGCAGTCTTCTGGCACCTGTGAAAGTTCTCAGTAGACTTCGGGAGGAAGGAGGGGGGCCGAACTTCTGGCCCACTTCGCTGCAACGAACTGAGCCGGAAGTGGGAGCAGGTACCCGTCAAAATCATGTATCCGCTCCATCCTCTCCCCCCCAAAAGGTGCCAAATATGGCAGTGGAAGGGGGGAGGAGAAGGTAAACAAGCGGAGCTTCCACTTTAGGGTGGAACTCTGTTCTAAAAAGGCAAAAACGGTTGCCAGTCATCCAGTAGTAGTATTTAACAAAGTGATGGCAGAAAAAAGTCTAAGTAGTCTATCGAATCTGTCCCATTTTTATTTTTTTTTTTTTTGGTGTATTGATAAGTCATTATTCCAATAAGGTGTAAATAATAATGGTGTGCAGTAACCATAATAGCCAATCATATACCTGCTTTAATCAGTTCAGAATGTCTAGAAAAGTGAATTGTAAAATGATTTCTGATAAGCAGCAGTGGATTACTGCATTTTGTCTTTTATAAAGGTCAGTAAAAACTATAATGTTCCTTTCTATAACACAAACCATCACAGCAAATGCTTAGGTCTTGCAGCGAGGGTGTAATCTATACGCTGTTAGTAATATTAGCTTAAGCAGGTGATACTGATCATGATACTTTACCCCTTAATGACCCTGCGCAATAATGTAAAATGCATGTGCATGTATATTTAAAGGGAACCTTGTACTAGTTAAAGGAATAGGTTTGCTGCAAAGCCAGTGTCAGGACGTTGCTGTACTTACCTTCCATACAATCCTTTGCCACCCCAATCCACCCTAAACTGGAGCTGAAGGTTGCTTTAAAGTGATAGTAAACTGTAAAGTGAATGTTTGCCCTACAGGTAAGTTTATAAGAAGTCTTATCAATATGTACTGTGAATATCTCCTAATCTTGCGCCATTTAGAAGATATTCATATTGACTCCAGCTGATGATGTCACTGTGCATAAGCAGTTCGCTCTGCATTCAGGGCATGCTCAGCGTGCCATGAATGTAGAGAGTTCCATGCCAATGACATCACTCATGCTCATGCACATGGGAGTCACTATTGTAACAGGGCACTCTCTAAATTCATGGCCTACCTTTCAAACAGCTGGAGAGTGTGAAACTGCAAGGAAGACTGGATGACAATAGAAGCGCTAGGAGAAGTGACAACTCAGTGCTGGAGGGCTCTGTTTGAATGGTGTGTAATGATGCGCTAGTATGTATACTAGCACATTAGGGCACAAACCTGTAGGGGACCCATAAAAAAAAAAAAATTACCATTGTTTTAAAGAATTTGGAAAGCTGCATGAAGCTTGGTGAAAGCTTTGGATATTATTTTTTTTAATGTTATTTTTCTATGCATACTGCTATTAAACAAGCTGAAATCTGTGTATGCAAGGCCTTAAAGTGTATGTAAACGCTATTAATGAACTTCTTTATTCTCTTTTGGGCTGGTAAATAATCCATTAAAACTGTTTTCTTATACTGTATCTGTTAGAGTGTTACTAAACCCACAACAGTAAAATCAGTCTGTATATGCAGTAAAGCATGCTTGTTATACTCACTGTGGAACCTAATGGTTAATCTTCCATAATGTGTAAAAAGAAGTTTGATCCTGTCTTCTCTGATCCTCCTCTTCTTCCACTGTCCCCAATCCATATGTTGATAGTACAGTGCCTTGGGGACAAGCTGCACATGCTCAGTTTGGTATGCATTGCTAGAGAGTTTTTATTCTTGGGAGGGTGCATGTGATCAGCACAGGGCTAATCAGCACTGTCCAGACAGAGGGTCAGAGGTTGCGCAGACATTAATGTCTCCTTTATAAAATCAATGCCCCCTCCCACCAATACCTCCCCCATCAACTTCATTGGCCCCTCACTAATTCCAGTGGATCATTCCTGGCTCCAATGGCTCCTCAACAATGCCACTGTATCCTTCCTGAAACCAATGGTCCCCACCAATGCCCACGTCTCCCTCTTGTCACCCAAGGCATACTACTGTACCAATGGCAAGCCCACCAACTCCAGTGACCCCTTCCTAGCACTAATCTGCCCCACCAACATTAATGTATCTTTCCTGGCAGCAATGTCCCCCCCCCACCAATACCAATGTCTTCTTCCTGGCTCCAATAGCCCTTCACCAATACCGATGACTCCTTTCTGACTCCAATGGCCCCTCACCGATACCAATGTATTCTCCATGGCCCCTCACTGATACTAATGTATCATTCCTGGTAACATTGGCCCCCACTGATACCAGTGTCTTCTTCCTGCACCATTGCTCCCCTCTCCCCACCTATGCTGATGACTCCTTCTTGACACTACATTGGGATGTGGCACTTTGAAAGTCCCCATTGGTTTACAGCGAGGGGCCAATATTGCAAGGAATATTTGGTATTGGTGAGGGGCCAATGATGCCAAGAAGGAAATGGTGGTGTGGGAAGGGGGGCATTGAAGAGAAATTAGCATTCCAGGAGAGACATTAGTAGTATCAGTGGGGGTAGGGGGGGGGCAATGGTGGCAAAAAAGGAGACAATGCTGTTAGTGGAATGTAAGAAGGGTTGAAATGGAAGTGCCACACCATTGCTATAAGGTCCAGATACAACATTATTCCATTAAAAGTCACAGGTATAATTCAAGAAGTAGCCAATGCGTTTCGGGAGTCTACATGCCTTCTTCAACAGGGCTAGAAAGAACATAAGACTTTCATATCAATCTGGCATCAATACATTGTCCCTTCCCCGGGGTAACAGTTAAAACCAGTCAATCGTATCAGAAAAATTACATACAAATTAGAACAAAAGTACATGTTGATGTCAGATTGATTTGAAAATCTTATGTTCTTTCTAGCCTTTATGAAGGGGGCACGTAGACCCCCGAAACGCGTTTGATATTCTTGCATTATACCCCAGACCTTTAATGGAATAAAGCTGAATCTGGACCTTTTAGCAGTGGTGTAGCGCTTTAATTTCAACTCTTCTTACATTTCACTAAAAGCCAAGGAGACTGTGGAGATCCACTGGGGTGTAGAAGGAACCAAATCATTTACACCATTAGCAAAAAAGAGGAATCGAGTATCTAGCTGCTCATCACCAGCATAAATGCAAACAGAAATAACCCCCTTTGTGATTTTAGTTCAGCTGACATGCCATCACACATATGTTGATGAAAAACTTTTTTCCATATACTTTATTGTACAGAATTATCAAAAAATACATTACAACTTAAAAACAAACTAGCTCTGATAGCTATTCCAGAAGTGTAATCCCTTATAAGGTTACAACAATTAAATATTCCCAAGAAACCTGATGCGTTTCGATCAATTCAATTTTAAATCTTCTTCAGGGGGCATAAGAACCAAAGGGATCTAAAACAGTAGTTGAGTGGTTAATGTTTATTAAAGCAATCTTAATCTTAAAAACACTGGCGTTTAAGGTGGGATTGCATGATCCAACATTTGATGGTGTGAGCAATCAGGAGGACAAAAGTGATCACATACGCATCTCATAGTACAGGCGGCAGAGAGGGAAAAGCAGACCACCCTCCCATGATAGAACCAATAGACACAAGGGCCTAGAGTATCCATCTTTCTGTAGGAAAGATACCAAAAATTCCATTGCCCCCCACTGATAATAATGTCTCTCCTGCAATGCTAATGTCTCTTCAATACCCCCCTTCCCCCACCACCATTTCTTTCTTGGCATCATTGGTCCCTCACCAATACCAATGGATCCTTCCTTGCAATATTGGCCCCTCGCGGTAAACCAATGGGGACTTTCAAAGTTCCATATCCCAATGTAGTCTCAAGAAGGAGTCATCAGCATAGGTGGGAGGAGGGAGCACTGGTGCAGGAAGCACTGGTGCAGGAAGAAGACACTGGTATCAGTGGGGGCCAATGTTTGGTACCAGGAATGATACATTGGTATCAGTGAGGCCATTATGAAGCATTGGAGGATACATTGGAGGATACATTGGAGGTACATTGGTATCAGTGAGGGGCCATCAGTACATTGGTATCGGTTAGGGGCCATTGGAGCATTGGAGGATACATTGGTATCAGTGAGGGGCCATTGGAGCATTGGAGGATACATTGGTATCGGTGAGGGGTCATTGGAGTCAGAAAGGAGACATCGGTATTCGTACCGGGCTATTGGAGCCAGGGAGGAGACATTGGTAGTAATTTTTCCCTTGGTGATGAGGTGACTGGGGATACTTTTTGGTCCACTGGAAAATAAGTCCAAACCCCTAGGCAACTGTTCAGAAGTGTCTCTCTCTCCCACACTTCCACCAATTGGTCAAGTGTCTGGTGAGGAACCACCTCCATCAAGGAATACTAGCGCACCAGTTACACCAACATTAGTACCGTAAGGTAACAAAAACCAGTTACGGGTCCAGCACTATCTTTCCACTTTCCTCAACTGGTGTTAATGGGGGAGACATTGGTACCAGTGGTGGTGCCATTGCTGCCAGGAAGGAGACATTGCAATTATTGGCGAGCTCACTGATGCCCTGGAAGAGACATTGGTGTTGGTGGTGAGGGGGTGCATGGGTGCTAGGAAAGAGACATCATAGTTGCTGAGGTAACATGGGTATTGCTGGGTGGAGTACCATATTGGTATCAGTGGAGGGCCATTGTTCCCAGGAAACAAATTGGTGTAGGTGAGGAGACATTGCAGACTACTTACCTGATCGCCTCTACATCTAGTGTGAGTAGGAGATCATTCCACCCGACAAAAAAGCCAGAGGATTAGCAGAAGGGGGGCATGCTTTGGCTTTTGTAATGCTTCCATAATTAGCGTTCACCGCATTATTACTGAATACAGATAACACAAGTTTATTTTCAACTGTTTGCATTAACAATGCCATATTTGGTGTGAGGAAGCTTTCAAACAAAGAGCAGCGAGCTTCACAAACATGGCGAACTAGGACCTTCCTTTGAACTCGAGTGTTTGTGTATTGTGTGAGCATGCGCAATCCGGGCACGATGGTCAGGCCTCTAGCCAATGATTACAATGAATAGGATGGAGGCTTACCAGCAAGTTAGGTGGTGTTTCTTTTGAATGATCATGTTAGGTAAAGCCGTATCCTTGTTTATGTGTGTGCTCATGCTAGGTGGAGCAGTGCGGCAGTGTTCAGGTTGGGTTGAGTTGAGGAATCGTGCGCATGCGCGGGACAGATAGTCTGTAAATATTAAGCACAGAGATTTGGTTGTAGTTTATTTTGTAAATTCACTTCCGGCACAGCCATGGACCTGAGTACTCTGCTGGTGAGAGTCAGCTCCGGGAACCATGAGGAGACGGCTGCAGCCCTGAAGGAGTACAATGAGCAGGTAGTGTCTCCCTGTGTGTGTGACTGGGCTGTCATCACTGACTGCACTGTTGTGTATACCCTGTGTGTGCTACCTCACTGTGTGTGCTACCTCCTCTGTATACCCTGTGTGCTACCTCCTCCATCACTCTCATACCCTGTGTGCTACCTCCTCCTCATCACTCTATACCCTGTGTGTGCTACCTCACTGTATACCCTGTGTGCTACCTCTTCCATCACTGTATACCCTGTGTGTGCTACATCACTGTATACCCCTGTGTGTGCTACATCACTGTATACCCTGTGTGTGCTACATCACTGTATACCCTGTGGCTACCTCCTCCATCACTGTATACCCTGTGTGTGCTACCTCATCTGTATATACCCTGTGTGCTACCTCCTCCATCACTGTATACCCTGTGTGCTACCTCTCCATCCACTGTATACCCTGTGCGCTACCTCCTCCATCCTGTATACCCTGTGCGCTACCTCCTCCATCACCCCTGTGCGCTACCTCCTCCATCTGTATACCCTGTGTGCTATATCCTGTATGTGTGCTACCTCCTCCATCACTGTATACCCTGTGTGTGCTACCTCACCATCACTGTATACCCTGTGTGCTACCTCTTCCATCAATGTATACCCTGTGTGCTACCTCTTCCATCCATCATCATGTATACCCTGTGTGTGCTACCTCACTGTATACCCTGTGTGCTACCTCTTCCATCATCACTGTATACCCTGTGTGCTACCTCCTCTCCATCAATGTATACCCTGTGTGTGCTACCTCACTGTATACCCTGTGTGCGCTACCTCCACTGTATACCCTGTGTGCTACCTCTTCCATCAATGTATACCCTGTGTGTGCTACCTCCCATCAATGTATACCCTGTGTGTGCTACCTCCATCACTGTATACCCTGTGTGTGCTACCTCCATCATCAACTGTATACCCTGTGTGTGCTACCTCCATCACCGTATACCCTGTGTGTGCTACCTCCATCACTGTATACCCTGTGTGTGCTACCTCACACTGTATACCCTGTGTGTGCTACTACCTCCATCACTGTATACCCTGTGTGTGTGTGCTACCTCCATCACTGTATACCCTGTGTGTGCTACCTCACTGTATACCATGTGTGCTACCTCCTCCATCAATGTATACCCTGTGTGCTACCTCTTCCATCACTGTATACCCTGTGTGTGCTACCTCACTGTATACCCTATGTGTGCTACCTCCTCCATCAATGTATACCCTGTGTGCTACCTCCTCCATCAATGTATACCCCGTGTGTGTGCGTGCGTGCTACCTCCTCCATCACTGTATACGCCATGTGTGTGCGTGCTACCTCCTCCATCACTGTATACCCCGTGTGTGTGTGTGTGCACTACCTCCTCCATCACTGTATACCCCGTGTGTGTGTGCTGCTACCTCATCACTCCATCACTGTATACCCCGTGTGTGTGTGTGCTACCTCCTCACTGTATTACTGTGCTACCCACTGTGTGTGTGCGTGCTACCTCCTCCATCACTGTATACCCCGTGTGTGTGTGTGTGCTTGCTACCTCCTCCATCACTGTATACCCCCCGTGTGTGTGCGTGCTGTGTGTGCGCTACCTCCTCCATCACTGTATGTATACCCTCCATCACGTGTGTGCGTGCTACCTCCTCCATCACTGTATACCCTGCGTGTGTGCTGCTTACCTCCTCCCATCACTGTATATCCTGTGTGTGTGCTACCTCCTGCATCACTGTATACCCTGTGTGTGCTATCTCCTCCATCACTGTATACCCCGTGTGTGTGTGTGCGTGCTACCTCCTTTATCACTGTATACCCCGTGTGTGTGCGTGCTACCCCCCCCAATCCATCACTGTATACCCCGTGTGTGTGCTACCCCTCCATCACTGTATACCCCCGTGTGTGTGTGCTACCCCCTCCCATCACTGTATACCCCGTGTGTGTGCTACCCCTCCATCACTGTATACCCCCGTGTGTGTGCTACCCCCTCCATCATCACTGTATACCCCGTGTGTGTGTGCTACCCCCTCCATCACTGTATACCCGTGTGTGTGCGTGTGTGCTACCTCCTCCATCACTGTATACCCCGTGTGTGTGTGCGCTACCTCCTCCAATCACTGTATACCCCGTGTGTGTGTGCGCTACCTCCTCCATCACTGTATACCCCCGTGTGTGTGTGCGCTACCTCCTCCATCACTGTATACCCCGTGTGTGTGCGTGCGTGCTACCTCCTCCATCACTGTATACCCTGTGTGTGCGCTACCTCCTCCATCACTGTATACCCTCTGTGTGTCGCTACCTCCTCCAACACTGTATACCCCTGTATGTGCGTGCTACCTCCTCCATCACTGTATACCCTGTGTGCTACTCCTCCATCACTGTATACCCCCGTGTGTGTCCATGCTACCTCCTCCATCACTGTATATCCTGTGTGCGTGCGTGCTACCTGTGTGTGCATTGCCTCCATCACTGTATATCCAGTTGTGCTACTTCCTCCATCACTGTATATCCTGTGTGTGTGCTACCTTCTCCATCACTGTATACCCCGTGTGTGTGCGTGCTACCTCCTCCATCACTGTATATCCTGTGTGTGTGTGCTACCTCCTCCATCACTGTATATCCTGTGTGTGCGTGCTACCTCCTCCATCACTGTATATCCTGTGTGTGCGTGCTACCTCCTCCATCACTGTATATCCTGTGTGTGCGTGCTACTTCCTCCATCACTGTATACCCTGTGTGTGCTACCTTCTCCATCACTGTGTACCCTGTGTGTATGCTAACTCCCTCCATCACTGACTGCACTGTGTGTATGCCCTGTGTGCTCCCTCCTCCATCACTGTATACCCGGTGTGCTTCCTCCTTCACTGTATACCCTGTGTGCTACCTCCTCCATCACTGACTGCACTGTGTGTATTCCCTGTAGCGTGCTACCCCTCCACCATCTCTGTATACCCTGTGTGCGCTACCTCCTCCACCACTGACTGCACTGTATGTTTTTTACCCTGTGTATCTTGCCTCCTCCATCGCAGACTGCGCTGTATGGCATCCTCTTGGGGGAACCCCACCGCCTGCCTGTGCGGTGTTCTCTTTGCGCCCCACCCCCCCCCCCTCCTGCCTGCGCGGGTGTTCTCTTTGCCCCCCCCCCCCTTTGTGCCCTTGCCTGCGCAGTGTTCTCTTCACCCCGCCAATGGCTCCCACTGCTGTCTCAGCCAATGGAGGCGAGAGAGGGACACCGAGGAGAACCTCTGCTCTTCTGTACATCGCTGAATTGAGATCGGGCTCAGGTAAGTATTAGGGGGAGATGTGTGGGGAGCAGCACACTGGAAGTTTTTACCATCGTGCCTAGAAAGCATGATGGTAAAGTCTTAAGCCTTTAGATCTATATTAATACTGCTTGAAGATCCATGCACTCAGTGGGCATATAGTACACCATCTGCACTGAGCAGTCAATGGAAAACTCCCATTTACACACCGTATACAGCTGGCCATACAGGAGTCACTTTTTTTGTTCAACCAGGAGGTTGAACAAAAGAAAATGACTATTCCTGCAACCACACTTGATGAGGGTGGGGGGAATCCTCCTCTTGTATCATTTTTGTTTTGATAGTAGGGAGCCTTCCTTGCTGTCAGAATACACTGATCAGCACTACTGGCTATAGCCAGCAGTGCCGATCGAGAGAATTTTTCAACAGGCTGGCTTGTACAGATGGATCAACTTGTGTACAACCAGCCTGCCCATTCATGGATTGAAAATTGGCTTCATACCTGCCCAGCTGGGGGGGGGGGGACTTCAAGAGTAAACTAGAGCCTGGGAGGAGTAGGGGCACATCAACAGTAAATCACCAGTCTTCTGAAAGAGGATTGTGACTGCATTGTGTGGTCTGTTTGTGAATCTTGTTTGTGCTCAGTGGAGACCTCCTGTAACAAGGGTCATATTGGAAGCAGTTTTGTGTTTTAAATTGCACAGTGATGAATGTTAATGTTTGTGTTCTTCCCTGCTGGATGGCTTTAAGCAACACAATCACCACCAAAACAGCTCCAAAAAGGTCAATGCAAAAGAGGTGCCATTCCTCTACATCACCTGTGCCCCTTAACTTTGCTTTCTTGAAGAGTTTCTGTGGGTCCTTGCTATACGCAATCCACAAATGGCCTGTCACTGGACAGCCTTGGTGAGGTAGGTCCGTCCCTGCCCGTCTGCCCCCGCCCGCCCATGTTTTGGAGGTACTTGGTAAGACAGCTAAACAGTTGCACTTGGAGGTATTTGCTCTGCTGGCATACATATGGTGCTTTTTGCAAACTTTTAGCTTATTATAGGTGCTCTTCAAGTTGCAGATGCTAACTGGTAGGCTGAATAAAGCACCACTTGTATGCTGTAGTGGAGGCTTATAACCACCACCATACTACCGTATTGTAAAAAAACGAGGTTGACATGTGACTTCAGTGTGTGGTTCGTTGTGTGTTTTTGTGTTTTTTTTTTTTTTTTTTTTTTTTCTTTTATAACCATGCCCCAGATATACATTTGGACAGCCATTGTGCCCTTGAAAGGCTGTCATCTTAGCTGTCACTGACAAATCAAATCAGTCATGATGTATAGAGCCGATCAGAGTGGCTCTGTACCCTTTAATTGGTGGATCAGTTTTTGGCTGTGGCACAGCAAGTTTCTGCTGACCTTAAACTTTAAATGGCTGAAATGTCTGGTAAGTTAAAGAGTTACTAAGCCCACAACAGTAAAATCAGTCTGTATATGCAGTAAAGCATGCTTGCTAGACTCACTGTGGAACCTAACCTTACTAAATGAATTGCAATTCCATGTTGTGTGTACTGTGGGAAACCAGATAGAGTGAATGCAGGGTCCTGGGTTTGGTAACACTTTAATGGTGCCGTTGCTTAAGACGAGGAACATTTTTTATATTATGTTAACACACACTGTTTAGATTACATTATCCCCCTTTCTGTATATGGATGATGACACTGTAATTATTTTAATTAGGAAAAGGGTACTTTGATTTTTGTATCGCTATACAGTTATCACATGACCCAGTTTTCCCAGCCTGTCTTCAGCTAAACAGTGGCAGGAGGACCTTCTAGTCTTCTGCTGCTGGTCACATGTTCAAAATAAACAGCCTTTAGGATATAGAGTAAAAATAAATATCAAACTGTTATTAATCATACAAATATATTTGAAATAAATTCTTTAGTACTTTTTGGCAATAACATGGTGTGAGCGGATTTTTGTCAGTCACAGGCTATATCGCACTCCTCCAGCCTGTCCCTTAGAATAACAAGGAGGTGAAGCCTCCATCAATCAAGATGTAATATCCCACCCCCCCCATTGTGCTTAGCTGGTTAGTGGACATGGAGGAGGTAGGCAGTGGGCTATAATCTACCACTGTATTCACCCACGTTTGACTCTGTAGTTACATGGGCTGCTCAGATGTGATGGGGAGAAAATGCTCTGTATTGAAATTCACTGAAAACTGTGCATGTGCAGTAGCTGCCAACACTGCTCTGAAAAATCCCCAGCTGCACTGGGGACATAGACAGAAGGGGGAGATGGAGAACAGCAGGATCAACCAGGTGTTTTGCAGAATACATAAAAGGAATTCCATAGTGACTGAGTACAGTCAGCATGTAATACAGAATTTATTGAGGGTTTAAGTTTTTTTTTTTTATCTGAAAATAACTGTTGCAGGGGCGGATTGACAACTCATGGGGCCCCTGGGCAATAGAAGATCATGGGGCCCCTGTGTCCTTGCCCAAACTCAAAAAAGCCTATGAAAAAGGTACCAGGGGCATCTCATGGGCCCCTACTGACCCCGGGCCCTCGGGCAGTGCCCGAGATTCCAAATGGTCAGTCCGCCCCTGAACTGTTGGTAGCTAGTGGTAGAATGTGTGGTGGTGTGTTTTGATTGTTGTGTGGTGGGGTTTTTTTTGTGTCTTTTAAACTGTATCCTTAAAAATAAGGTATTTGTCCATCACATTGACTATTTTAAATCCTTATGCTGCTAGCATTAGTAAACCATAAAGTATGTCATATTTACTTGTGTTAAATATTTTACATTTCTTGAGTTACTTCCTGGTTTCCAGGCCTAGACAAATGATGTCATACATTCCAGGAGTCTTCAGGAGGGGAGGAGGGGTTTTCTCTGAGTACATACCTGAGCTAAAGGCTGATGGATTTCAGGAAGTAAATGCTACTTGAATCATTTGCACTTACCCAAGATGGCCGCAGCCAGAAATCCTAGGGGTTGTTTTTTCAGCAAAATGAAGCATGGAGATATGGATGGATAAGTGAATTTCCTTTGAATGTTAAAAATGAATTTAATAGCATTTATGGTTTTTGGTGCTCCTATGCAGGGTAGCTCTACTTTTTTAAAAAAATTTTTCATTCCTAGTCAAAACCTTCTCAAGCTTGGGTACCTTCAGATTTTTGTGCGCAATGAACATACTAATGAAAAATGTATGGGTAGCTTTAGACATTTTTTCCACTCTAAACCTAAAAAGGTTCTTGAGCCCTGAGTTGGTCTTCAAGATGTCGTCAGCTTCATGCACCTCATCCTACTGAAGATATATTTTGAGGGTCAGTAATTTTATATTTCATTCCATGCCTGGCTTTTGCCAAGCACCTAGTAAGTGTTGCTGTCCAAACGTGTGACCTGAGATGAGGCTTGTGTGTGTCGCTGCATTGTTGGCAGTCATCTGCGCCTTCAAGAAGTTTGGTTTTATGTCATATTCACTGGTCCATTTGAGACCTGATTAAACTGTTGTCCTGCACACATGTGAACAGAACAAAGAATTGGTTTACATTTTGTCATTAACTATGTTAATGTAGATAATTGTGTATTAACTATTTAAATTCTGTAGCATATTTCATGAGTAAGTGAAATTACTTTAAACAATGCTATAGAACGTGGACATTAAAAAGGACCTTGCTGTGTTTGTGTATATCTTTTGCATCACATTTAGGGTTAAAAAAAAAAAGTAAGGTATCAAACTGTTTCAATTCCTTTTAGTTCAGTAGGATATGACAGATTGAATATGCACATATTAATCCAGCGGGTGAGGCGTGTGATACAAAGTCTCAGTTTTCACCAGGCTGATTTGGGAGACTATATACATTTCTTGTACAATGTATGGCCAGCTTTAAGGGTTCATGCATGCCGGCTTTAAAAAAAAAAAAAAAAATGCTCTTGGCAGAAAATACTAACTTTGAGGTGTGTGTGGTATGTTGTTTGTGTGTTTTTTGTTTTGTTTTTTTTTTTCTCCCCTGCATTACAACCTTGGGCACTGTGGTGTCCTTTTATGAAACAGATCAGCGGCGATCCTAAGGATCGTTGCTGATCTCAGATCATTAGTGGTTTAGGAAACGGAGATGATCGGCGGAGACCATGTTCTCCACTCATGATCTCAGCTCACAGATGGCCAGTGTATGAAGGAGCGATGTCAGCCCTTCACTGGCGATTGTGTTCTCCCTCCAGATTCTGCAGCCCAGAGGTGGAGAATTGGGGGAACCGCAAACAAAGCAGCGATAATTTACTGCTGCTTAGTAGACTGTGTGTTTGACTGATCTCTTACTGTAATCTCGCGAGATTACAGCAACAGCAGCCGTTTTCTAGCGTTCAAAGTGTTTGTTGATCGCTTCTCTCCTCATTTCGTTTCATAAAAAGACGTTCAGAGGAGAACTCTCCTGTGACAATGTGTCATTTACCGCTGCATGATGAAAGGACACTTGTGTGGGTAACGTGTGGATGTTGGCATAAGCCTCTGGTCACATCGGGTGTGATTTGCATGCCAGGCGACTTGCAGATCGTATGCCAAGTCGCACCCTATTGTCCGTTATTAGCTCGGTCATATCAGTGCAATGCCGACTTGGTCGGAGCCGCGTTGATTTCTAAAGTATATCTACTACTTTTGTTGCGATTTGCATAGACATCTGTGTCAGATGTCTTGCCAATCGCAATGAAGGAGGCAGGTCACCCGATTTTGAAATCGCGCGACTTCACTGTAAGTCTCACGATTTCAAAATCCACTTTGGTGTGACAAAGAGGTAACATGTAACACTGTTGGCATAGTTTATTACATTTTAGAATGGGGTGCATTTTAAAGGGTGATGGGGCAGAAAAGTTGAAACACTGAGTTAGAGCAGCAACACCTGTTGGCTGTAAGTGATAAGATATTCATATATATTGTACACATTAACCTGTAGAACCCCTTTTGGGTCACAATTTGTTCATTAAGGCAAACAATCTGTTTAATTTATGCTGAGCTATTGCTGTTTTTTTTAGCTTCATTGTGGAGGCATAAATGGTACATATATTGTTTACTGGAAAACACACCCTGAACTGTTTGGTTGCCTATATAAACTTCACCTTCAGGGAAATCATTAGAAAGGCACGTCAGTGCTGCTCTGCATACAGGAAGGGTTTGATCTGTGTCTGACGTACATTGTGATCTTTGTGAGCCCTGGCCAAGCTGTGAGACTCTGTGTGAGGCATATGGGCAGACCTCAGACTTTTCTCTCTTGGGTTCTATTTTTCCATATTTGTATATACAGCGTTGCTGTTTGGTAAAGGATTTTATTTGGTTACACTGCATTAAAAAAAACAATGGCAGTGTTAGGCAATACATGTTACAGAGACAGTAGCAGTTTAAGATTGCATTACTTGGTTTTTAAAGAGAGCCATTCTTGGCGGAAGCAGGAATTGAATATTAAAGCTGAACTCTTAGGTGAACCTTTTAAATATGTTTCTTTACCAGCCAAACGTCTGCCCACAGATTCCTAAGGGTAATGGCAGATGATTTTGGAACTAGCACTTTAATCACTATGGTCCATTGTAGACTTGTAAGAAAGAAGTAATTTGTCACTGCTTCAGGCCGAAAGCACAACTCCAGGCAGAAATGTACAATTTTTGTAAATCGATGTCTTACTTGCAATAGTCCTTTTTCTGTTGCCGCACTCCTGGATTAACTTCCCCTTGAGGGTGCATTCATCTTGATTTCCTTTTCATAACCCCAGTTGTGTCTGCTATGCCCTCTACCAGTCATATAAATGCCCCTTCGTAATTTTCTTGTTTGAAAATTCCTGCAATGGGAAGACTCAGGCTGGTCTGTACCAGCCATCTATGGCTAAAAGGACTGATTGACAGGTTTTGGGACTCCCAGTGTGCCACACTTATTCACATGACTGACAGCATATCCAAATGCAAAGGATGTGATGACAGAGCCTGCCTCATCTTTCCTCCCAGTGGCCAGACATTGTCACATTGTTTGACTAGCACTAATGTCAGACTTAGATGAATTTTTAAAAATATACTGTATGTAAGTAATTGAAATTAAACTTTCTGAAAGGAGGGGAACTTAGGAGGGGGGGGGGGGCATAGGTAGGAGCGGATTTCTGTGATGTGTAGCTAAGCCAAGTTTTGCCAATGAGCCAGTCACCATCTTGAGATGCTGCATAGACTCCGTCTCTGAGCAATTGCACTACATATTGCTGTAAAATTAGTTGATTAGCAATTGCATTGTAAATTTCTTTAGCAAGGGCTCACTTTAACCACTTCCATACCGGGCACTTTTACCCCCTTCCTGCCCAGGCCAATTTTCAGGTTTCAGTGCTCTCACATTTTGAATGACAATTGCGCGGTCATACAACATTGTACCCAAACTAAAATTTTATAATTTTTTTCTTCACACAACTAGAGCTTTCTTTTGGTGGTATTTAATCACCGCCGGGGTTTTTATTTTTTGCTAAATTAACAAAAAAAGATCAAAAATTTTGAAAAAAAACCCAGGTTTTTCTTTGTTTCTGTTATAAAAGTTTGCAAATAAATAATTGTTCTTCATAAATTTAGGCCAAAATGTATTCTACTACATGTCTTTGGTGAAAATAACCCAAATTAGGATGTATTGTTTAGTCTGTAGGAAAGTTATAGAGTTCACAAACTACGATATATATTTGAATATTGATCAATCCTGAAGTACTGACAGCCGATCTAATTTCTTGAGGTGTCAGAACAGTACAGATATCCCCCAAATGACCCCTTTTTGCAAAGTAGACAGTCCGACGTACTTCATAAGAGGCATGGCAAGTTTTTTAAAGTTGTAATTTTTTTTGTCATAATTTTTCGGAAATGAACAAATAAAAAAAATTATTTTCACTATTTTTTTTTTTTTTTTTTTTTACATACTGTCACCAGTGCAATACAGCGTCTTCATATAACTGGCATGGCGGTGATCAGGGACACTGGTGATAGTACGAAAAAAAAAATTGATAATTTTTTTTATTACATTTTTTAGATTTTTTTTTTTTTTCGTCGTATGACCAAAGTAGTATAATGTTTACCATAGTAACATTGTACTACTTTGGGGAAGTGATCAGTATTTTTACCTTAATGAAATCAATTCATTCAGGTTTTTTTTTTTTTTTGTTTTTTTTTTGTGCTTAACTGTGATTTGGCCACAGCTAATCACATGACACAGCTGGGCTGTGATTGGCCCAACTTGTGCATGTGATCGCTGTGACCATTCACAGCTAGCCACACTTGTATACAGTAGATGGCTTCATTTCATGCCATCCATTGTATACAACTGTCATGTGACCTGCTGTGATTGGTCACAGCAGGTCACATGGTACTGGCAATGGGGTCGGTACACAGATCTGTCATCGGCCTTGTCCGAGGTACATGACTGGTGACAGATCGCGCCGCTGCGTGTCTCTGCGGGCAAACAAACTGCGCATGACTGAAAGGATGCCATATGGCGTCCACCCGGAGGGACGAGCTGCTCGCCCAGCTGCCTTTTGTGCTATTGGCCAGGTGGGCAACTGGTTAAGAACTACAGGCGATTAAATTTGCCTAAGATTTTACATTGCACAGCCATGACTCTTCTCTACTGCATTACAGCTAGATAACCACTACCCTCCAGTCTGATTGGACAGCGAAGGAGCAGCAGTAGGCTGAGGTCACCTCTTTCTCTTCCGGACAGGATGTTTCTGGTTAGCAAATATGCATGCATCAAGCCTGATTGGCTCCTGGTACCTCTCTCTGCCTGTGCTTTTGTACAGCAGTTTTGCAAGAGATGAAATGAAGCCCATGAAATTATCCTGTAGCTGTCATAGAACCTATAAGTCACAGCAATATATTCTTTTATCGTTAAGAACCAATACAAGTGGCAGAAACGTATGGTAAGTCTAAACATAGCTGGGAAAAACTTCAGTGGGGATTCCTGTTCTGGTACCAGCTATCAAAAATCAGGTTTTCCTGTTACTTCCTGCCATATGGGTCTTTAACAGGGTGTAAAAACCTAACCATTGGAGACTACCAAAAAAAAAAAAAGAAAGCTAACCAATTTCAATCCCTTCTTCACTATCCAAAGCTAGGTGAACTATTTTGGCTGGAGCTCTGCTTTAAAATGTGTAAATATATATAATTTTTTTTCATGGGACATGCATGCATGCATCCATATAGACATACCTCAAATTTTTTAAAGGAACACTTTGAAAACACATCAGATCTCAATGGGGAAACCTATCATGCTGGAGATCTATACTGATGTGGACTGCTTAATGTGTTAGGAATGTAAGGATACCCAACGTTTGATGAAAATGAAAATTATCAACCTACAGCCGACTGAATTCAAAGACACCCCAAAAATCAAAGTGAAAAAATTATGCAGCAGGCTAGTCCATTTTGCTGAAATTTCATTGCAGCAACTCAAAATGGTAGTCAGTGGTTTGTATGGCACCCACGTGCCTGTATGCATGCCTAACAATGTCGGGGCATACTCCTAATGAGACGATGGCTGGTGCCCTGGGACATTTCCTCCCAGATCTGGACCAGGGCATCACTGAGCTCCTGGACAGTCTGAAGTGCAACCTGGTGGCATCTGATTGACCGAAACATGATCTCCCAGAGGTGTTCTATTAGATTTAGGCCAGGTGAGCTTGGGGGCCATTCAATGATATCAAATCAATTCCTTCAGCCTCCAGGAACTGCCTGCATACTCTCGCCACGTGAGGCCGGGCATTGTCGTGCACCAGGAGGAACCCAGGATCCACTGCACCACTGAAGGGTCTGACCATGGGTCCAAAGATTTCATCCCGATAGCTATTGGGAGCCAGGGTGCTATTGTCTAGCCTGTAGAGGTCTGTGCGTCTCTCCATGGATATGCATCCCTAGACCATCACTGACCCACCACCAAAATGGTCATGCAGAATGATGTTACAGGCAGCATAACGTTCTCCACACAGCTTCTCCAGACCCTTTCACGTCTGTCACATGTGCTCAGGGTGAACCTGCTCTCATCTGCGAAAAGCACAGGGTGCCAGTGGCGGACCTGCCAATTCTGGTGTTCAATGGCAAATGCCATTCGAGCTCTATGGGGCTGGGCAGTGAGCACAAGGCCCACTAGAGGATGTTGGGCCCTCAGGTCACCCTCATGAAGGCTGTTTCTGATTGTTCAGAGACATTCACACCAGTGGCCTGCTGGAGGTCATTTTGTAGGGCTCTGGCAGTACTCATCCTGTTCCTCCTTGCACAAAGGAGTGAATACCGGTCCTGCTGATGGGTTAAGGACCTTCTACGGCTCTTTCCAGCTCTCCTAGAGTAACTTCCTGTCTCCTGGAATCTCCTCCATGCTCTTGAGACTGTGCTGGGAGACACAGCAAGCTTTTTTACAATGGCACGTATTGATGTGCCATCCTGGAGGAGATGGACTGCCTGTGGAACCTCTGTAGGGTCCAGGTATCGCCTCATGCTACCGGTAATGACACTGACCCTAGCCAAATGCAAAACTAGTGAAATACAGTCAGAAAAGATGAGTAGGAAAAGAAAAATATATCAGTGGCCTCCAACTGTAAAACCTTCCCTGTTTTTGGGGTTGTCTCATTGTTGCCCATCTAGTGCACCTGTTGTTAATTTCACTAACACCAAAGCAGCTGAAACTGATCAACAACCCCCTCTGCTACTTAACTGACCAGATCAAAATTCTAGGAGTCTAATTGACTTAATGCTATATTCTGATTAAAATGTGTTCCTTTCATTTTTTTGAGCAGTGTACATATATACGTCCTTTAATTTTTTTTTTTTGAGCAGGGTAATATACGCAAGGAATACAAAAAGCATAGTGTCTCAAATCGCTTCCAATTAGCACATGAACAAAACACGAAATGTTTATCTTTTTATGCTATCGACAAAGTTGAGAAACATTGGCACGGGTCTCATTTAAACTGGGATATTTGATGTAACGAAACCAAGTGGAATTATGAATTGCAGACCCTTATGCTTCAGGGCTTAAATATAGAAATTGATCTCAACTGTTTTTTTCTATCAGTAATTTTAGCTTTTAAAATGTTTTGTAGCATTTACATGGCATGCATGGCTACATGCATTTGTGTATAATGCATTTTTTTTTATCTTATCATTAACTGTTTATCAGTAATTTTTCATTTAAAAGTTTTGTATGATTACATGGTATGCATGGCTACATGCGTTTATATATACGGCATTGTTTATTGGGGTAAAGTAAGAAAGTAGAAAACATCATGCCAAAATACTCACCTAGATCATATAGGCTCAAATCTTTGAAAGGTTTTGTAGAATTTACATGGCATGCAATTTGTGTATAATGTATTAGTGATTTAATGGATTCAATTGTTTTTCAGTATTCCTTTTTTTTAAAGTTTTTTTGTAAAAAATTACATGGGTTTAATTAGTATTCATAGACATATGTGTTTATGCATAATACATTTTTTTTGTTAAATAGAACGCATCATCTTAAAACACTTACCTAGATCATGTAGGCTTGGATTTTCAAAAGTATTTAGTATTGTTGGCATAGTTTTTTTGTTATATACTTGTATTGTGTGATCCACTTCTAAGCAATAATGGTGAAATAATGACACCCACTAGGGTGCAGTATGCAATACGAGACCACTTAGGGCATGTTTAGGTATACTGAAAAAGAATAAGTAGAATCCCTGGACAAGTTATTGCTTATCACTTATTTTTACATAAATAAAATAAATTAGTCTTTTATTGTAATATACTGTATAGACTGTACCTGTGAATTTGTATGCATATTAAGTAATCATATGGTGGCAATAAGGGTACATCCAGTGATGCATACTTGGCTTGTTCACATCCGGTCCCCAAAAGAGTCAATTTGGCAGGGTATAAATCCAGCTTCCAAAATGGTGAACATTAGCTTCCCGAAGACGTCACATTACAGACAAAACTAGTTGAAGCAGTGCTTCCCAACCAATATATCACATCCCATCCCATCCCAACAGTTTGCTCAGCGCTTTACAATATAACAGGAGACAATACAGCAACAATACAGTTCAATACAAGAGGGAAAGGAGGGCCCTGCTCCTTGGAGCTTACAATCTAAGGAAGTTCTGGATTAGAATTGAAAATGTTTCTTTTGGGTGGGACAGTAAAGAACCTGTCCTATCAGGGCAGGCTCACCGAGAATGCACTACAGGTAAGCAACTCTGGAGATACAGCACGGGGGGACTCCTGAGCCTGGTGACAGACTAGATTCATCTGCACCCCTTCTCTACTCTTCTTTTTTTTTTTTTTTTTTCTTTTTTAGATGGCTACCAAGAACAGCATGCTTCTGTATTTTATTTTACTTTTTTTTTTTTCTTCAACTTTATGGACTTGGCTAACTGGACTTCTGTTTTCTTCTTGACAGAATCGCTCTTTGTTTCAATTTAACTCGGCTGATGAGGACAAAAGAAAGGTATGGCTATTAAAATTGCACACGTATATTATGAACACTACTGGTCCAGCTCCAGCTGCAAACACAGGCTGCAGGTCAAGTGCCAGAAACTTCACTCAGAGTGTGGCTCTGCCTAACATGTTTTGACGTGTCATCATCAGAGGCAGAAAGGTCGTGTTTCCCGTGCAAGTTTTTATGGTTAAAACAGGCAGTGAAGAGGCAACTGTGCTTCAGCCCCAATTCAGGCGAATAGGGGGAATAGTTTGCACCCATGATTCTTTGCAACTTGGTGTGACAATCAACAAAACCGGGGGCACCTGTAGGATTAGCTTGCATTATTCAAGGCTCAGTCTACTTCTATTGCGAGAGAAAAGCTGTAAGGTGTTAAAGTTTGTTCTCAACTCCAAACAAATTGCATGCATTGTCATATTATGGTGGCCTAGTTTTATTCGCTTCAAATGCTTACCTTTCTACCATTTCAGGTTACTCACAGGACTTGAATGTCCTGAAGTGTTAATATAAACTGGAATAGTTTTTTTTTTTTTTTTTTTTTTTTTAACTTTCCACAGGTACCATGTGTAAGTTACCAGGTGTGCAGACCTCCAGCATAAACAGTAACCAGTACAAAAGTGGCATTGTCACATGGAGGAACTGGACCCTGGAATGGTTAAAACTAGTCAACAGTATTGCCTGTGGTCTCCTTGCAGCTGATCATTCCCCCCTCTACCGACTTACTAAGGCCTTATTCTACACTGTGCAGAGGCTGCCATCTTGGTAGAGGCAAAGCTTTGCTTCATTCTAGAACAGCATCTCACTAAAGAGCATTGAGCAGCACAATACTTAGCAAATCTCCATGAGACTAGTCTTAGGCCTTATTCTTGGAATTTATTCTGAAGTTATAAAGCTATGAGGCTGTAAGCACAGGTGTGCCTAGGCACCCTCACACACCAGAAAAAGTACTCCTTCAGGAGGGACTCCAAACAAGGCACAATTAATTAGGCATTGATTAGACACAATTAATATTTGTTCCCTATAACATGACAGATCTTCACTTTTGAGTTTAGGCCCACCTTTAAGGGCTCATGCACATAGGGCATTTGCTTTGCTTCTCTGACATCAAAACTGCTGGCCGGAGAATGCGCTACCACTCACATGTGCCTAAAAACATCTAGCGTTTTAGGCACAGGCACATTCACTTTTTTTTTTCTTCGGAACATCAATTCCCATGTCATGCAAGCAAAGCTTCTTGCTTTGAGGATTTTTACAAGTGTCACAGAGCAATTTTCTATCCTATTTTTTAGTGATTTGCCAAAATATTTGAGTATTTTTCTCCCAGATATACAATTTGCAATAATGGAAAAAAGGTACTTGACCAATTTTTGCTGTTCTCAGATCAGTAGTATTGCTTGATATGTTGCATTACCCAGCACTACTTTCTGGGTTGATGAGTTGGAAATTTCAGGATTGGCTAATAAAGCTGCTTGCCACAGTAATGGGCCAATATTGAAGCTATGCTAACAGGAAGGTGTGGTGCCAGGCTACCAATTCACTTTATTTTTTATTTTTTTGCAGAAACTGTGTCAAACAATTTTTGAACTCTTGGAAAAGGGAACAACCACTTCTTGCCAGATTGCCTGCTTGGAGGCTCTCCGAATCCTCTCCCGGGATAAAAAGGTTTTAGCGCCAGTGGTCACAAGGGAGAACACAAAGACCCTCATGAAGCTGGCAAAACTGGACCCTGAACTGAAAATTCTAGGTGACTCTGCAGACTATCCAGTTATTGTGGAATCATTGAAGTGCTTGTGCAATATTGTGTTTAACAGTCCTGAGGCTCAGAAGCTGAGTCTGGAATTAAATATGGTTACTAGGCTCTGCCACCTCTTGGAGATGTGCGAAGGTGGGCAGACAATCAATGACATTCGCTGCTTTGATCTGAAGGCTGCTCTTTCTCTTAACACTGCTGCATACAAACATCAGGTCTAAACTGAAAGAGGAACTGCAAGGGCTCCCACTGCTGACAAACACCCTGGAGAGCATTTTGGGTATTCACTGGGTTGGGGAGTACCGGGCTGCTGCAGAGGTTGGCTCGCAACCATTCTCTAGGCAGGAGACAGACTGCATCATAGAGGCACTTAAGGCTCTCTTTAATGTGACACTGGACAGCTGGAATATCCACAGTGAGGTAAGATATCTAATATTTTGCTTACTAATCTATCCGTATAACTGGGCTTCAAATGAGCCTGTCACTTTAAAGAACAAAAAAAAAGTGCCTATCAAAAACCTAGTTGGTGCTTGCCTGTTCTTCTGCTTGCAGAGCCTGATCCCTCTCTATTCCCTGTGGTTCATCCCATCAACCCCTTTGTCACTACAGGACACAGTAGTAACAGAGGGGATAGTGGAAGGAACCACAGCACTCAGCAGACCAGTAGTCTGACACCTGGTGTGAGAGAGGCAGAAGCTTTTTTTGTGAGAATTAAAAAGAGAAGAATAATGGCATGGGTGATGAGACAGGTAAGTATTACTATTTTTACAGGGTTGTCCCTTTTTTTTTTTTTTTTTTTTTTTTTTTTTTTTTTAGCAGTTGCTGTAATGTCTAGAAGGGCGTGGTCATCTTTAAGTGTATGCAATGAATACAGCTTAAAACGCAACTTTAACAAAAAAAAAAGCGTAAAAGGCAGTAACTTTTAATGCAGAGGAGATATACTATGTCTCTGCTACAATACAGTTCCTTACCTGCTCGTTCGCTGACCCTTACACACGTAGCTCGGTATACAATGTTAAAGTTCTGGGGTGAAATGAACTCCCACGCATATGCGGGAGTCACAGCATCTTTGCCTGACCGATGGAAATTACTGGAGATCAGTACCTGGAGGCTGCTATGCTGACGATATCAGCAGCCAGTGAGGAACTCCAGAACACAGTAGTGTTGGAGAGAAGGGGTGTAGTTAACCTTTAAACTGCCTGCCTTCAGGCACTCTCCTCAGATTGAAACTTCTGGAGCCATCTAGAGGGGGAGGAGCAACAGCCTCCTCATTAAAATGAGGATGCAGAGGAACCATGCTCTGCTGGGGCACAGTCTGGAGGATAGGGTAAGTAAACTGCTTTTCCCATCCCCTAGAGCTAAAAGTATTTAAAGTGTTGCTAAACCCACAACAGTAAAATCAGTCTGTATATGCAGTAAAGCATGCTTGTTATACTCACTGTGGAACCTAAGGAGTTAATCCTCTGCATTTTGTAAAAAGGCCGTTTTTATCCCTTCTTTTCTGTTCCATCCCTTTTTCAAGAGACCACCTCTTATCTCCTAATAGGACAGACTGAGCCGGCATTTGCACATGCTCAGTTTGGTGTGTATTGCAAGAGGCTTTTTTTCTTGGGAGAGTGCATGTGGTCAGCACAGGGCCAATCAGCACTGGTCAGACACAGAGGTCAGGGGTTTTGCATCCTCCTAGAACAGAAAGAAAACTCCTACAAGCTTTAGCTAGTTCTTTGCTGGACACTGATAGAAGCCACAGGACCGCTCTAACTTCTGATGAGAAAAGGTATTTAGCAGTTTATATTTACTAAAATAATTGCACTTCCATGTTCTGTGTACCATGGGAGACCAGATATAGTGAATGCAGGGTCCTGGGTTTAGTAACACTTTAAGGCTTGCAGTGCAGGCGCAGCCACACTGCAAGGAAGGATTTACTTTTCCTGGAGTTGAGCTGTAACGATTATAGATCTGCATTTGTCTTAGATGCCTGGAGTTAAGTTTACATTTTCTGGGGAAGGAGTGAGGCGAAAATCTACAATGATGCAAAGCATCCTGCAGGAAACTTCAGGAACTGTGATGTTCATTGTGTATTATATAATGTTGGTGCAATCTATAAACTGAATATACTAAAGGGATAAGACATACTAAAATCTACAGAATGCAGAATGGTGAACAGAAGTACGGGGGATTTGTATTGTACACAATGCATGGTAGTTACTATGGAACAAGCCTGAAATTGGGTATAATGGTGAAGACCTTCAGGTGTTACTAAACCCAGGACGCTGCATTCACTATATCTGGTCTCCCACAGTACACACAACATGAGAATGCCATTATTTTAGTAAATCCCGCTAAATACCTTTTCTCATCAGCAGTATAAAGCAGTCTTGTGACTTCTATCAGTGTCCAGCTGAGCACTGGTTAAAGCTTGTAGGAGCAGTTTTCATTCTGCTCTGACTGTCCTATGAGACTGCATAACCCCTGACCCTCTGTATGGACTGTGCTGATCATATGCACGCTCTCAAAGAAAAACAAAAATAGCAATACACACTAAACTGAGCATGTGGAGATTGACTCCTAGAGCTTCGTACTATCAACTGATGGATTGGGGACAGTAGAAAGGGAGCATTGAAGAAGACAGGATCAAACAGCCTTTTTACACAATGCAGAGGATTAACTGCTTAGGTTCCGCAGTCAGTTAAACAAGCATGCTTTACTGCATATACAGACTTGATTTTACTCTTATGGGTTTAGTAACACGTTAAAGCAGAACTAAATACATGAGGGTTTCCCAGGGCTCTTGCCATAATGTGCCCTCCACTATTGATGAGGGCCATGCTCCCCCCTCATTTCTCCTAGTCTTCAGGTCAGAAGTCTTCAGTCCTCTGAATTGGCTAGCCAGAGGGACGCTCGCAAGCAGTGATCCGAGATGGCTGCGTGTTAGCTTCGCTCCTCACCACCTGAACACATCTTCATCTCCTGGCCGCATTGAATGGTCCCCTACCTACCCCCAAGCCTTCTCCACACACTCCGGGTAGTCCCAGGAGGTTTAAATGGGAAAGTGCTTGATCTTCGCCTGGGCGTCTAGTGCCAAACGCATGGGCCGCAGGCGAGACGAGACCACTTCTCCGGACGCCATCTGGGAGGCGCCGGCCTCGAGTCCAGATCAGTGGCTCCACTTCCTGGCCGCTCCTGGGAGAAGGTCCAGGACCGGAGACGCTCTCTCCCATCTACTTCCTCAGCGACTGGATCTCCTCGGTCTGACCCAGGCTGAACAGATCTCCCAGGGGCCGTGAGTTATTTCATATTGCCATGCCAGGCCCGGAGTCACCGACTCCTTTCTGGACTGACCGGAATCCTTGGTCCTGAATTTTGGACCTCCTGATCTGCCCGCATATGTCTACATTTGGACCCTTTATTTTGCCGCACCTGTACCCCCCCTTGACCTCCCCCCATCCTTCCTGCCCCCTTTCCTCTCTCTCTTCCCCTTCCTTTTCCCCTCCCCCCCTTTTTTTTCTCTTTTCTTTCTCCACCTCTCCCCCCATCCCCCCCCTTCCTTTCCTCTCCACCTCCCCCCCCCCTCCCGAACTTTCCCCCCTTCCCCTCTACTTCCATACCCTCCTCTCCTTCCCTCCCTACCCACCCTCCTCCTCTCCTTCCCTCCCTCCTCTCCTTCCCTCCCTTTCCACCCTCCTCTCCTTCCCTCCCTTTCCACCCTCCTCTCCTTCCCTCCCTTTCTTTGTTTTCACTTTGTTTCGCCTCCTCCTGTGCTTTGCAGGTGGGGATGCCCCCCAGTGTAGACATGGAGATCGGTCCTTAATTTGCTTAAGAATGTGCTTATATATTTCTCCCTTTTCTTTACCCTTTTTCTCCCTTTTCTTTCCCTTTTTCTCCCTTTTATTTCCCCTTTTTCTCCCTTTCCTATCCCCTGCTGCTGTGGGGATACACTGTACATTGGCCTTTTGGGCCACTAGCAGCCCCCATGTGTCCGGTGGTAGAGCACCCTCATTTCTCACATCCGGGATTGTGATGTGGTCCACTTTTGAAGTGGTTATTGTTCACATTTTACCCGCCTCCTCTCTCCTTCCTTCTTTTGTCCTTTCCCTGCTTTCCTTAATTTTTCCATCTATTTTTTCTTTTACAAACCTGTGCGCTTTGGAAATCCCTTTCGATATGGCTTTCTGCGATGGGACAGAGGTGGCCCTGAGGGGTATTCTACATGAGTGTCTAAACTTTATCTCCATGTGATGGTGTCTTGTCCTCTGAAGATCTATTTTCCCAATATCCATGAGTTCACTTCACCTATTAAATGATCCAAAGTTTTCCACTCTCTTAAGTCCAACCGTATTGACCTTGTTTGTCTCAGGAGACCAGGTTCTCCTCCACCTCCGCCCCTAGATACCTCTCTCCCCACTATCCTACCTTCTACCTCACTTCTGCCCCTGAGAAACGCAGGGGAGTCATGATTGCGTTTAGACGTCATTTATTGTTTGATTGCTCGAAACAGATTGTAGACCCCACGGGTAGGTACTTTCTTCTTCAAGGGGCCCTCAATGGCCAAGAGGTCACATTGGTTACATATTACACCCCCAACCAATTTCAATATAAATTTTTCTCGCACCTCTTCCAGGTTATCTCCCGTCATAGCTCAGGGACTCTCATCCTCCTGGGGGACTCAAACATCACATTGGATTCATCAGTTGATAGGCCTTACGCCCTAGGAGCTTCCCGTCTCATGATCAGGCGACCGAAGAGAAGATGCACATGATGTTTCGCTCTCATGGTTTAGTTGATGTCTAGCGTGAATTCCACCCCCGCGGTTGGGATTTCACTTTCTATTCTGACCCGCACTAAAGCTTTTGTCGGATTGACCATGTCTTCATGCCTTTTCGCTCTTTACATTTAGTTGACTGTGTCAAGATCCACACGTCGCCTTGGTCGGATCATGACTTGCTTATCTTAACTCTCTCACATGTGACCCTGGACCTTGATCACTTTGGTGGCTCAATGACTCTCTTCTCACAACACAGTATACCTTCCTGCAAATACATTCTAACATACAAACCTTCTTTGATGACGTTGTGGGTTTGGTGTCCTCGGTGATTTCCCTTTGGGAGGCCACAATGTGGGGTCATCTTATCCAAATTGCTTCCGTACGTAAATGGGAACAGGAGCAGAAGCTTCGGATCTCGCCACTTGTCTGGCAGTGGTGGAGGCGGCCTGGAAATCTCCTTCTGCCCGAACCTGGAGGGCCCCCGGCAACATTGTTGTAAAATTGAACTTTCTGGCCTCCAACCAGGCAGAGAAGGCCCTTCGCTGGGCCACACATAAATATTTTTCTTCTGCCAATAAACCGGGTGTTATGTTGGCTTGGAGGCTGAACTCTGTGGTTGCCTCCTCAAATCTGTCAGACTGCATATGGCCGGCGGTGAGCTTTCATCTGACCCAAAAAAAATTGTAAACTCCTTTGCCACTTTTCTCTCATCCCTTTACTCCTAATCTACTTCCTTTCCTATCAACAGCTCACATCTCCATGATACCGAAATCAGAAACTGGTAGATGCTTGGCATGAATTATGCCCAAAACTGTGCAGTGAAACAAGAACTGACAAATGGCACAAATGGTGCCTTTTATACCTAGACAATAAGACGGTCAGGATAAATGACCTGACTGAAGACAATAACATAGGACCACCAAAAGTCCTCCCACATAAATGTGTAATACGTATAACACGTGATAGGTGACCACACAAAAAACTCTATATAGATAGATAGATATAGATAGAGATAGATATATAGATAGAGAGAGATATTTATATCTATATATATATATATATATATATATATATATATCGTGCTCAAGTCCCTGACATTTGGGACTAAATACTATAAAATAAACATCAAAATTTGTGACAACACAAATAATTTTAAAGTGACACTCTGTGCTGCATAAAATAAAAAAGCACTAATAGGCAGAAATGGCCAGAGATATGTGCCACCAATAATGATAACCACAGAAGAAAAGTCCACGTGTGTGATCCTCAATATAGCTGGATATAGTAGAAATTCCAGCAATGAACATAAATGATGCAGGTGTAAGGAATGGGATCCGTCACCGGCTAGATTGCCCCCTCACCTTCAAAAAGACTTTGTAATGTTAGGCACAGCTACCCGCCCAATCTGCAGGTACGGGTCTGGGTTAGCAGGTTAGAAGGACCCAACAGTAGAGTCTACTTGGTCTTCCACACAGTACAGAGTTCAAGTCCAATTTGATGTTAATCCTCACAAATGACTTTTGTTTTCCGTTCCCCAGACAGCTTGTTGCAGAACTAAGCCTACCCAATCAAAAGTTCTGAAGGTGTAATATAAGGGGATCATCATTTATCTATGTATTTCTGTTTATGTATAATATATAGGTTATTGTGTTGGAGCGCAGCACCATTTTTCTTTCTTTTTGTACTAGTTACTCTATCCAGATGTATAGCCAGGTGATAGCAGCTTCCCAATCTTAGGACATCGGTATATTCTGGGTAGTACAGGTGGTTCCTATTTCATTTTGTCAAGCCTGCCAGCATAAAGACTTTTTTTTTTTTTTTTTTATAAGTTCTGTATTAAATGATGCTTAAACAAAAAGCAAAGGGGGAGGGGTTAAAGCTGAACTCTTGCTTTGAAAATATTAAATTCCGCTACCACAAAGGGGTAAACATCAAAATCCCTTTGCAATGCAGTCACCTTTTGGTGAAAGGAGCAATGATATTTGCACATAACCAGTGCAGCCAGCAGATTTGTAGGAGGGATGCAACAGGTCCACCTACTACAGGCTGCTGCAAAACTGCAGGGGGCAGATAAAAGAAAAATCACCCTCCTCAAGGGAGAGCAGCAGTGACTGGTCTTCATTACAGAAAGCTTCTTTAGAGGTAAACATTTCACATTGGATTACTGCACAGATCTACACAAAGCATTTCAGCTTGAAAGTCAATCTAAATCCACTTAAGTAGAACTCAAGGCAAAAACAAGATGAATAACGGGCAATTATAAAGGGCTTTTGCTGCAACAGCCAAATGTTAATCCACAGACTTCCCCCTGTAGTGTGAGGGGTGTGTTTTGTGGGGGTTTTTTATTTTTGGTCACCTCTGCTGTATGCTGACTGCAAGAGGCTGACATGGGTCAAATTCAGGTCTTTACAAAGATACAGAGCTGAATTCCTTTGTTTGTGTTCAGAAAAATGAGATAAAAAGTGGTAGGAGCACTTACAGCAGAGCTCTGGACAGCTTTTACTGCAAAGTAAATGTAGGGGGATGGTATTGATGGTAGTCTGTTTTGGGATTGGAAACCATCTTAAATATGACATCCCACAATCTCCCATAACAGGCTTCCTTTAATTTTTACTGTAAGCATTGATGCTGCTTTATGTATGTTTATAGTGTTTTAAGCACAAAAGGTATAACACTTTTCATGACTTGAAAATATTCTTTATAAGGCTTTTATTTAGGAATGCACCAAAAGTTCGGCAGTCGAAACATATTGGCCGAAAATAGCCCTGTCAGCATTTTACCGATAGGAAAATTTCTGCCGATACAGGGGGCTGTGTGTACTGCAGATGTGGGGGGAGTTGGAGAAAGGCAGTAGAGGAGCAGTGTATACAGTGAGCTACCGCTAAATGTCAATGCTGGTTTTTAAATGTAATTACCGGCTTTTCTTTTCCCCCTTAACTATAGCTCCGAGAAGGGTCTGTCATTCTCACCGATGCTAAAGGAAAAAAAGGGGCGGGGTCACCCAGTGACATTACCTAGTGACCCCCACCCTTTAGTTTTCTTTAGCGGAGGGGAGAATTGACCGCTCCTCCTCGGATCTATAGTGAAGAAAAAAAAATCTGGTAATTGCATTTAAAAACCATGCCAGTTTTTAAACCTAATTACCGGCTTTTTCCCCTTCACTATAGCTCCAAGAAGGAGCTGTCATTCACCTCGCTGCTACAGGAAATAAAGGGGCGGGGTACCCAGTGACATTACCCAGTGACCCCCGCCCCTTAGTTTCTTTTAGTCACGGGGAGAATGACAGATCCTTCTTGGAGTTATAGTGAAGGGAAAAAAAAGCTGGTTGGCAGTGACATACAGTGGATATAAAAAGTCTACACACCCCTGTTAAAATGTCTGGTTTCTGTGATGTAAAAAAATTGAGACAAAGATTAAATAATTTCAGAACTTTTTTTTTCTACCTTTAATGTAACCTATAAACTGTACAACTCAGTTGAACAACAAACTGAAATATTTTAGTTGGATGCAATTAAAAATGAAAAAACTAAAATAATATGCTTGCATAAGTGCACACCCTCACACTAATACTTTGTTGAAGCACCTTTTGATTTTATTACTACCAGAATTCTTAAGGTTTTGTGCAAATATTGACTGGTATTTGGAACTGTTCATAATTCCCTCTACATTGACTAAGGCCCCAGTTCCAGCTGAAGAAAAACAGCCCCACCATGCTTCACTGTGGGTATGGTGTTCTTTTGTTGATGTGCAGTGTTGTTTTTGCACCAAACATATCTTTTGGAACTAAGGCCAAAAAGTTCAACCTTGGTTTCATCTGACCAGAACACATTTTCCCACATGCTTTTCGGAGACTTCCGCTGTGTTTTTGAAAAATTTAGCCAGGCTTGGATGTTTTTCTTCGTATTAAAAGGCTTCTGTCTGGCCACTCTACTCCATATCCCAGACATGAAGAATACAGGAGATTGTTGTCACATGTACCACACAGCCAGTACTTGCCAGATATTTCTGCAGTTCCTTTAATGTTGCTGTAGGCCTCTTGGCAGCCTCCCAGACAAGTTTTCTGCTTGTCTTTTCATCAATTTTGGAGGGATGTCCAGTTCTTGGTAATGTCACTGTTGCGCCATATTTTCTCCACTTGATGACTGCCTTCACTGTGTTCCATGGTATATCTAATGCCTTACATTCTTTTGTACCTTTCTCCTGACTGATACTTTTAACAATGAGATCCCTCTGATGCTTTGGAAGCTTTCTGCAGACCATGGCTTTTGCTGTAGGATGAGACTAAGAAAATGTCAGGAAAGATCTACTAGAACAGCTGAACTTTTATTTGGGATTAATGAGAGGCACTTTAAATGATGGTAGGTGTGTACTGACTCCTATTTAACATGATTTTGAATGTGATGGCTTAATTCTGAACACAGCTACATCCCCAGTTATAAGAGGTGTGCACACTTATGCAACCACATTATTTAATTTTTTTACGTTTACTCCCAAACCCCCCCAATTCAGTTTGTATTTCAGTTAAGTTGTACAGTTTATAGGTCACATTAAAGGTGGAAAAAGTTCTGAAATGATTTATCTTTGTCTTATTTTTTTTACATCACAGAAACTTGACATTTTAACAGGGGTGTGTAGACGTTTTATATCCACTGTATAGGGGCAGCCAGTGAGGGAACCTGAGTGTATACACTGTTCCCTCACTGTATACATTGCTCCTCTCCTGCCCCCTCTTTACACACACTGCCACCCAACCCTCTCCCCCCCCTACAAAGAGGACCTGTCACCCATATGCTATCACATAGGGGAATATTGCTCCCGTATATGATAGCAATAAAATCATAAGTTAAAAAAATAACAGATATTTCAGTTTTTGGCATCGGTTTCGGCACCAGAATTTTCATTTCGGTGCACCACTACTTTTATTGGAAAGTGTGGGGTGTATAATATGATGGGGGGAGGGGGTTGCAGGACACTGTTAACCACAGTGATGGCCACAGCCAGCAGTTATATTTGTAAGTCTATCATGGCAATTGGATTCCTTTCCCATGGGAGGATTCTGCTCTAAGTGTTAAATCATTGATTTTAAATGGCTAGAAGTGCAAACTACTAAATCACTGGGGAAGAGATTTTTAAACGGCATTATATGGAAGACAGATTATGTTGAAGTCCCCCACTCCTGTTCAGGGATGTTGGTCCTAGTTTGGCATTGATGGCCTTGTTCACATCTCTTGCAAGTTGCGTGTCCCCAACCAACCATCCCCCAAAGCTCTCATTGTAAAGCTCTATTACCATTTTGCTACATTACCTAAAAATCGCATATGTGCTATCCTGTTAATCAGCATACTTTGTTATAGTTGGGTTAAATATCTGGGGTTAGGCAAGATATAACTATTTCTTGGGAGGAAGGGGGACAGAAAATTACCAGAAAATGCATTTCAGATCCAGTGCAGTCACATGATAACCTGTGTCAAGGATTGCTTGATAAGAGCTGAAACATGAAGTCTCATGACAGCCTCCATTGCACCCGCTGTCAGCGCAGCTGCTTACTGACACAGGGGAGCCGCAACTGTGACCGCACCAAAACTCCCCCTTATGGAGGCTTGGAGCTCTCATTGTGTATCACTGCTGCCTCTTGTGAAAGCAGAGCCAGCTTTCCGGGAGGCAGTGTTTTTGCCACAGCGTCAACAGTGCATCCAGGAAATGGATGGAGCGTCTTGTGGTCGATTAGATTTTTCTTATTCAAGGTAATGGGCAGTCAGTAAAGTAGATCATGTGTGATACTTATACAACTATACTATTTTTTGGCAATTTTCCTACAGTGTTTTATTCTTTACAATTTGCCTTGCAGAGTGATGCTCACCAATTTCGTCACCTGGTTGCACTTTTACGGCATATTTTACTGTCCCAGGGTCCTTCTGAGGAGAAGACAGAGGAACTGCACAGGTTGGTTAAAGACTGTTGAAATATATTTTTCTATGAAAATTATAAAGGCCAATTAAAGGGAAACTGTAATATATTCTAGCACAGGGGTGGGCAACTGTGGCCCTCCAGCTGTTGGTGAACTACAAGTCCCATCATGCCTCTGCCTTTTGGGAGTCATGCTTGTAACTGTCAGTTTTGCAATGCCTCATGGGACTTTTAGTTCTCCAACAGCTGGAGGGCCACAGTTGCCCACCCCTGTTCTAGCATATATATATATATATATAAAAAAAAAACACTTTGCAGCTTTCTTAGAGGTGGTGGCTGCATTAGGTCCCCCCCCCCCCCCCCCCGGCTAAGAACAAAAAGAAATGCTTATCTTGCCAGAAATGCAGTGTCCTTGTCACTTCTATGAGCTAAAATGGAAATTTCTAGCATATTAGTCTCCCTAGTACAGTGCCTTGAAAAAATATTCATACCCCTTGAAATTTTCCACATTTTATCATGTTACAACCAAAAATGTAAATTTATTTTATGTGCTAGCTAGACCAACACAAAGTAGCACATAATTGTGAAATGGAAGGAAAATGATAAATGGTTTTCTAAATGTTTTACAAATATCTGAATAGTGTGGCGTGCATTTGTATTCAGCCCTCTTTACTCTGATACCCCTAACTAAAATCTAGTGAAACCCATTACCTTCAGAAGTTACCTATTTTTAGTAAATAAAGTCCACTTGTGTGTAATTTAATCTCAGTTTGTTAGAGAACATTAGTGAATAAACAGCATCATAAAGGCCAAGAAACACACCAGACAGGTCAGGGATAAAATTGTGGAGAAGTTTAAAGCAGGGTTAGGTTATTAAAAAAAAAATATCCAAAGCTTTGAACATTTCACGGAGCAATGTTCAATCAATCTTCCGAAAATGGAAAGAGGATGGCACAACTACAAACATACCAAGACATGGCCGTCCACCTAAACCATAAAATACATTTATGTTTTTAGTTGTAACATGACAAAATGTGGAAAATTTCAAGGGGTATGATTAGTTTTTCATGGCACTGTATGTAATGGAGAGGAAAAAGGGCAGATGTGTTTGAAGTCCAGTCAGTGTGACAACGCTAGCTCCCTCCATAGATACAATAGAAAAATCAGTATAGACCTGGATAGACAGGAAATGTTGTTCACAGGATGACCAAATGGAAAAAATTGAATGCTGTCACTTCATCTAAGGACCAATAAACTGGAATATTTGAGTTTAGATACCATTTTTAAGTTTACACTCTTGAATTTCTAAAAAAAAGCTCCTTACAAATTCTATTTTAGCCCATAAACATAATAAAATGCATTAGACATTCTTTTTTAAAGTGTCTGTGTACCCCACCCATGAACATCTCCTATTTGCTTACCTTTGGTCTGTTAAATACTGTTGTGTGTTTGTGTGATGTGTTATGTGCTTTATCTATGCGAAAAGTGCCAAAACCAGATCCTGCCAAGCATCCAGTGATAACTTTCTGTGCATTAACAATGTTGTCAATGCTTTGCACTAAAGAAAACCTATTATTATGGAAATGGAGGAAGGTGTTTATCCAAAACTAGTTTAGCCTTTAGTTTTAAGGTAAAATAGTTTTTATTTTCCCTGTGCTCCCCTTACCCCATGTGAAGGAGAAGAGGAGAGAAATCGGCGCTGTGCACAGCTGCATCTCTTCTACCCCCTCTTCCTCTTCACACAGGGACTCTAACAGCGGCAGGGGCCATTGCTTCTTGCTGCTGTAAATCAAATGCAGTAAAGAGGTAATGGGGGCGGGGCCAAGTCCCACTGTGTCTTTGGATCGCGGCTCTATAGAAACACAGGTCGAAAGCGAGCACACAGTATGTCCCGTAGCAAAGGGCTTGCTATGGGGACACAAAGAAGAGGAGGAGCCAGTATCGCCATCGAGGGACCAAAGAAGAGAAGGATCGGGGGTCACTCAGACCAAGTAAGTATAATGTGTGTGTGTTGTGTGTGTGTGTGTGTGTGTGTGTTTGAGTGGTTTTGTGGGGGGATTTTTTGTTTGTTTTTACCCCAGGCTTTAACACTTTTAAGTACTTTGACTTTTCTGATCTGAATACTTCAGTGACTCAAAGTAATCTAAGTAGCTGTCCTTTTTTAGAGTGGGCCAAGGCAGCCCCAATTTTTTTGACATGTTACTTTCTTTGTTAATTTAAAGACCTTCTAAATCTTTTCATGTCTTACAGTAATTGATTTATATCCACTGCAAAAAGACTGCTTATTTATAGCGTAGCAAATCAAAATCCTAACTAGGTAACATTGGTTGTAATGGCAATACAAACCATAGTTCTTTTTGACAATCCAATATAAGATTACTTGAAATCTCCTTTCATGTTGAGTTCTGGCTGTCGACCATCTCTCCTCCAACTTCCCTGCATGCTTTGCAGCTTCTCTGCTGTTTACTTTCTTATCCCATGGTAGCTTGCTGCCTGCAAGCAGTGATTCCTGTATTGACTCCACCTCCTGAAACTCCTCCTCCTCTCAGCACCTCTGTAGTTCAGAAGGCAGGCTCTGTGAAATGTGTGTCACAGCAGTGCCCATAAACAGGGCATAGTGAGTGTCTCAATTCAGGCAATTAAGTGTGGGAATTGTCAAAGAGAAATTTACAAACTTCAAGATTTGTTCTAATTATCAGGAGTAAGCTAGCAATTGAAATAGAATGTGGAAAGGTGTATGATTAACATTGTGGCCATAGTTATGCTTTATATATTGAGATGTATAGACTAACCATAGAAGGAGCTCTACCTGTTACTACTACGACTTTGACTTTGAAACAATGTTGTGTGGCCAATACCTGAACATCTGTAAGCAGAGAGGCTAAGTCAACAACTCATGAACTTTGTTAAAGAGCAGTAAAGCAAAACTAATCTGTTGCAGAGCAGTGCATGAATCAAAGTATGTAACAAGCAATGTGCCAGCCCTATGTTAACATCCAATTTGATTGCTGAACTTTTAATGCCTTAGGCTAGTTATGTCATGCTGATCTTTGACAAGTCTTTCTGAAAGTTTGAGAATGCGTACATGCCCTATTATGATGGGATGAGAGCCAGATGTATCTTCCAGAAAGGTGTTTTGGCTTGCAATAATGAAGTTCTGTGTAACACACAGCAAACGACTTGCCACATGGCTACCCTGGAAATCAGAATTTCCCAGCCAGATAAATACCTTGTTGCAAGGTTTTGTATACGTGCTTAAGAATTTAAAATATACGGTAGATTGAGTAAGCAACCAGAGGGTTAAGTGCCAGCACCTAGAAAAGTCTTTTCATGATTTTTGCAGAATGATCTCTTCTACCAACTGACATTTCAGAGATAGGAGGTTGGTCTTTGTGGCTTGGCACCGCAGCTCTTTCCTCCTGATACTCATTCTACAGTTATTATGAGCAGCACTGTGACCAAATGTGAGGTTTGGAGGAGATGGACAGCTGGCCTTAATTTGCTAAACGCAGTATGTACATAATGGTGTGTCCCAGGTCTAGAGTGTTCTGGGGTGAAGCTAGGCACCGGCAATCAGACAATGCCATACAGGGCAAACCTAGTCAGTGGTGGACCATGCAGCAGCTTATGCTCCAGTTCACTGCCACTCAGTTTAACAAATGGCTATGAAGAGAAAACCCTGTACTTGCTAGGTATGGGTAGCATATGACTCTCTCCTTCCTCCATTACATAGTGCAAATGCTTGGCTATTGGATGTTCAGGCAGATAACACTGTCATATGGGAGAGTCCTGTGTAAGCTACAACTCTTCAATCCTGGCAGTAAATCGGTCTGTGGGAAGGCAAAGAGGAGATGTATAAGCGTCTCTAGGGCTGGCTTTAAAATGAACCTGTTGCTTTACTGAGTATAGGCAGTGCACAGGTTCACGTTAATACTTGGTAATTTTCCCTGTCAGTCCAAGTGCACTTAAAGGTTCGCCTTTTCTTTTAATACATGTAATTCTTGCCACCTCCTTCTCTTCTGGGTTTCTCTGCCAGTGGCCTCAGCTCCTCCTCCCAAGTGCCTCTATAGCAAGCCACTTGCATGGGGTCACTTGTGCAGGCCTGATCCCAAGCCAGGCTGCATGTGCCTCTAGACAGTGTGGCTTGGCCTCAGCCCCACTCCCTCTCACAGGATTTGATTGACAGCAGCAGGAGCCAATGAGTCCTTTTGAAGAGAAGTGTTCCTGTTCTCAGACATAGGGCTGGATCAAGGAAGGGCTAAGTAAGTTATTTAAGTTGGGGAGGGGGGATGTAGCTGAAGTGTGTGTGTGGTGGTTTTTTTTTTTCGTACCCTAAATGGTTGTAAGGCTTGAGGTTTTAACTTAGTGCATTCTGTGCATTAAGTAAAATGTGGGCTGCTATTGTAAAACTCCAGAGAATGCTAGCTGCTGGGGAGCCATGCTGGTCCTTTACTAAACCCATGACCCTGCATTCACTATATTTGGTCTCCCACAGTACACAGAACATGGAAATGCAATTTTTGTAGTGAATATAAACTGCTAAATGCTGATTGGCCCTGTGCTGATCGCATGCACCCTCCCGAAAAAAAAAACCAAAAACTGTCTAGCAATGCACACCAAACTGAGCATGTGCAGAGTGCTTCCTAGGGCTCTGTGCTATCGGCAGATGGATTTGGGAACAGTAAAAGGGGATGATCAAACAGCCTTTTTACACACTGCAGAGGATTAACCCCTTAGGTTCCACAGTGAGTATAACAAGCGGTCTTTACTGCATATACAGACTGATTTTACTTTTGCGGGTTAAGTAACACTTTAAGCTTCAGCCTGTTGAGACACTGATCCTAGAAAACCTGCAGATATGCAGGATGTGGGAGGTTTCCATAATGTATAGTATATGTCATTATCTTTCCCATGCTGATCAGTTGGACACAAATGTTGAAAATTGTCTGTTAATTATTTAATGGCTTATGTTAAGCTATGGAGCATCTTGCTGTAATGCTTCTCTTTATTCCCACACATGGCTATTGCTGAGGTTTTTGCACATTGTTTTAATGTAAAACACAGCTTGGTGGGGGTACTGAGGGGGTGGCCATGTCTTAAGTGATTGATGATCACTGGGGGGGAAAAAAAGTATTGGTACATACATCCAAGTTGAAGAATGCAGGTTGCATTGTGGAAGCCTCAGATCACAGGCCCAGGCTCTAGTATAAAGAGAATTTCATACACTTGTACTCCACACAAAGCTGACACACAATGTCACAAAGCCACCCTGGCTGGGAACTGTATTGTTCAGGGGCACTGATGCCGCAAATGTAATTTAGGGGGTGAAAAAATGTTGGCTTGGGCTTGTTAGTAGCAGCATCATATATAGGCCTATTCAAGAGGGAGTATAAACCACAATGATGTACAAAATGCTTCCTGTACAAAAGTCAGTCATGTTTCAACTGACTTTATGTGGATAAGATACGATTTCTGGTTTGTTGTTGGGTTAGTTGCCTAGCACCCAGTTCTCTGCTGCTTTATTGAACCTGTTCGGTATTGTAAAGATGTAATTTCACCTAGAGCAAACCGTTTTCAGAGGTCATTTTATAGTTTCAGTTAGAAAGTGGAAGCGGACACCCAATGAAGCTGGTAACTGCACTGTTTGCTTCATTTTATAACAAGTAGCATGGCGTAAACGCTATATGGGCAAAAGTGTGTGAACCCTCACCATAACACCTAATGAGCTTGTTGGGTGTCCCATTACCAGTCCATGGTCATTAATAGGTAGTTGCCCAAACCCCTCTTTAACTGAACATTTTCCACTCTTCTGGGAAGGCTTTCCACAAGAGTTTGGGTTATGCATACTGAGCTAAAAACATTTGTTGCCAGGTACCAATGATGCAACCTGGGTCATTGTTCCAATTCAGCCCAGAGGTATTACTCCACCAAAGACCTAAAATCATGTCTTTATGCAGCTGGTTTGCTGGTGCATAAAAACCTTTGCTACTTTTGTCTTTGTATGCTAAAGGATTAGCTGGAAAAATGCTCAGACTCAACAACCCAGTTGGTGTTTAGTACTTTGCCTTGCAGCACTAGCATCCCAGATTCAAATCCTGGTTGGAACACTATCTGCATGGAATCTGCATTTCTTCCCTATGTTGCATGGGTTTCTTCAAGGTACTCCAGTCTCTTCCCACACAAGACTTTAAGTTGGTTCCTACCTAATTCGCTACACTATGTGTATGTAAGATGGGGACCTTTTAGATTTTACACTTCTTGAGGGCAACAACTGATATAAATGTACATTATGTAAAGTGCTTTATAAATGGCTGTAACAAATGAAAGGATCAGGGATCCACAAACTTGGCCATATAGTTTTTAACTTAAGGAACACTCAAGAGTTGAGTGGAATTGTAGAGTTAGGTCCATATATATTTGGACACAGGCACAATTTTAGTTTTTTAGTTTTTTCAGGTATTTTCCAAAACATATTCAAGCTATAGTTATATAATGGATATGGACTGAACGTGCACACTCTCAGGTTTAATTTGAGAGTATGTAGATCTAAATTGGAGGAAGGGTTTAGGAATTACAGCTCTTAAGAATAGTCATCCCTCCTTTTTCAAGGGACCAAAAGTAATTGGATAATTGAATCAAAAGCTGTTTCATGGCCAGGTGTGGGCTACTCCTTCATTATTTCTTCATCATTTAAGTAGGTAAAAGGTCTGGAGTCGATTCTAAGTGTGTTATGTGCATTTGGCATCTATTGCTGTGAACCTACATCATGTGTTCAAAGGAGCTGTCCCTGCAAGTGAAACAGACCATTTTAAGGCTTCAAAATTGAAATAAATCCTTCAGAGAGATAGCAGCAACATTAGGAGGGCCAAATCAACAGCGTAGTTCATTCTGAGGAAAGAAGAACGCACTGGTGTGCTCAGCAAAATAAAAAGGCATGGACGTCCATAGAAGACAACAGTGGTTTATGATCGCAGGATCCTCTCTATGATAAAAAAAATAACCCATTCACAACATCCAGATAAGCGAAGGACACTCTCCAGAAGGTGGGCGTATCATTGTCAAAGTCTACAATCAAGAGAAGACTTCACGAGAGCAAATACAGAGGGTTCACCAGAAGGCGCAAACCATTCTTAAGTCTGAAGAATTGAAAAGCCAGATTAGACTTTGCCAAAAAACATCTAAAACCAGGCCAGTTCTGGAAAAGCATTCATTGGACGGATGAAACTAAGATTAATCTGTACCAGAACGACGGGAAGAAAAAAGTGTGGAGAAGGCTTGGAACAGCTCATGATCCAAAGTGCACAACATCATCTGTAAAACATGGTGGAGGCAGTGTGATGGCCTGGGCATGCATGGCTTCCAGTGGCACTGGGTCATTGATGTTTATTGATGATGCGAAAGAAGACAGAAGCAGTCGGATGATTTCTGTAGTGTTTAGAGATATACTGTCAGCCCAGATTCAGCCAAATGAAGCAAAGTTGATTGGACGGCGCTTCACAGTACAGATGGACAATGATCCAAAACACACTGCAAAAGCAACCCAGGAGCTTTTGAAGGAAAAGAAGTGGAATATTCTGCAATGGCCGAGTCAATTACCTGATCTCAACCCAATTGAGCATGCATTTCACTTGCTGAAGGCAAAACTAAAGACAGAAAGACCCACAAACAAAGAGCAACTGAAGACAGCTGCAGTTAGAGCCTGGCAAAGCATCAGAAAGGAGGAAACCCAGTCTTTGGTAATGTCCATGCGTTCCAGACTTCAGGCAGTCATTGCCAGGAAAGGATTTTCAACAAAATAGTAAAAATGAACATTTTATTTATGATTTATTCATTTGTCCAATTACTTTTGAGCCCCTGACAATGGAGGAATTGTGTATAAAAATGGTTGCACTTCCTAAAATTTGTACTTGATATTTATGTGCAACCCCTTGAATTAAATGAAAGTCTGCAGTTCAAATTTATTTGGATTTTTTTGTTTTTAATTTATTCTGGTGACATGCAGAGCCAAAAGTATGAAAATTGTGCCTGTGTCCAAATATATATGGACTTAACTGTATGTAGTATAAGCTTTGTACAGAACAGACTTCAGACTGCCCTATTTTGTATGCTGATAAGTCTATCTATCTATCTATCTATCTATCTCATCACCTTGCACCCCCTATACATCCAGAGCTCCCATTGGTGAATCGGCAGGCTGTCACTTGTCAGACTTCAGATCCTTCAGTATGATATAAAGCTCCGTCCACTTGTATATTCCTCACCCCCTCCCACAGTTTTTAGCCTTGATTTACAAATAAGCCATTATTACAGATTGCATGTCTGAAAATGCTCAAAGAACAGATCGTGCTCTGAGAAACCTGATTGAACTGGAGCAGTAACTCATTTGCTGGGTACAGCTCCAATCACTTGCCAGTGTACATTTTGGCTTAAGTTGTTGAACTTTGTAAACACTTTTTTTTTCATATTTTCTAGGTTTTCTTTAAATGTGCTGTTGTAAAAGGAGACAAGAGCCCAGGCTCCTGGCTGCATATGAAAACAAAATTTCATATTGATAGGACACATAACATGTGTAAATGTGATTTATTCCTAACCATTTTAAAGAGAATTTTACTTGCATGGGTAAGAGAGACTACTCACCTTTCCCTTATGTGCATGCACTTGATTTGGCTGCTGGGAGTGAAGTGAAAAACTTGGTAATTCTGGTGTGGTTGAGCATGTGGCAAATTTTCAATCTCCCCTGTGTTGACACATTGGGCCAAAAGTTCCCCATAGCCCAATGTGATCCTCTAACTCAGTTTGGAACTTCAGGGCACTCTTTACTTGTCCTGGTGGCCAAACAGAGCAGTGATAGAGCAAGCGTGAGGGGTAGATAAGTAAATCTTTTTACTTGCCTTGCATGGGCAAATAACAGGTTCACTTTAAAAATAAAATGTTTACTTTACAGCAGACCAAAACTTGTAAAGTTTGAGAATTGTGTAGGTAGATGTTACCAGGGTAGAAGAGAACTTGCCCAACAGCAAGAAGAGCCATGATGCATTATGCCAATAAGCCTTACTGTTTGAATTAAAATTGTCTATGGCAGCAGGTCACATGGCCAAAATTGGTCTATATCAAAAGGCTAATCTGTAACAGAGAACACTGTCTTAAATGAATGCAATAATTTGAATCCATGATCTTGTAACATGATTTGTTGTTTTTTGTTTTTTAATTTTAGTAATACAATCAATTTGTTGAGCAATGTTCCTGTCTCCTGCCTGGATGTTCTCATCCCCCCATCTGGACAAGAAATGTCTGCAAACAACAATGAGCCAGACATGGAGGCAATTCAGCTCATTCTGAATTTTATGGAGAAGAGAATAGATAAGGTATGAGTTGTTAAAGCAGTTGCGTTCGGCTTCTCCCCCCTTCTGAGCTCACAAGTTACTCAGACCCACACACAAAGTGGAACTAAACCCACCAATCTGTCTCCTAAAATGGTTACATACTTTAGGCCCATGAATGGCACTCGCACTGACATAAAGATGCTGGGGGAGGGGGGGGGGAATTACCTCGAAGACCGGCATACTTGTAGAAAGGCAGGGCATAATTGCAGTACAAATGACTTCTTTTTAACAGTCTATTATAAGTGTACTTGACTTCATGTTGTGATTGATGTCTGCTGGCCATCTTTCCACAACTTCTGAATTTCCTGCTAATGCCCTTTGGTTTACTTTCAACTTCTAAGGACTATCCCATGGTACCTTGATGCTTGCAGGCAGAGATGTGGTGCTCTCCTGTAGTGACTGTCCTCCTAAACTCCTCCCCTCAGCACCTCTGAAGGCTCTGTGAAATGTGTGACACAAACAGTGCATCTTCACAGGACTTGGTGAATGTGCCACATACAGACTGGAAGTATGTGTGGAGATCTTCAAAATTTATTTTAAGAACTTCAAAATCATGCAGATTAATAGGTGTAGTCTAGAAATTGAAATGTCTGAATATGACTTTTTAGATTTGACCATAGACACTCTACATACGTGTGTATCTCTAAAAGTCTTGTGTGGGCATCAACAAGGCCTGGCCCAAATGACACTTGGCAGCCTTTCCCAACCAGGATTCCTTGGAACCCTGAGGTTCCTTAGTGGTCTGTGTTGGATTGACTTCAAGCCTGACACTAGTGAATGTTTTACCTTTCTAATAACAACCAGTTTAAGGGGCACCTCTCCCAAGGACTACCGATGTCAGGACACCTTCCTGAACATCATTGTTAGGAGGCCATTTCTAATCCCCTTCTCCCCTGAAAACTAGTATAAGGAGCCACAAATGAGTGGCACTACAGTTTGTATGCATTTTCTGTCCTTTGTACTGTGTTAAGTTGAGATTACTGAAGATTGAATTTTACCATAGAGAGCAGGGGTGTTAAAATAATGGGGTCTCTGAGTACGATACATAAGGTTTTTTTTTTTTTTTTTTTTTTTTTTTTAAATACCTTTCTGTTAATTAATCTTTCTGTAGGTTAAATAGATTTACATTGTGATTTAAGTGGTGCTTTACAAAGGCCCAAAATTATATCTAGGGTTCTTCCAGGGTAAAAGATGGGGAAAAGCTTCTCTATAGCATCTTCCCCATCAGCTAAATAAAGAGTATGTAGAGATTTGGAGAGGCAGGGGAGAATCTTCTCCACTGAGCTATTGTATTTTGACAGCAGGGAGACTTACCTGTTGTCTGAATACACAGATCAGCCCTCTATGCTATAGCTTGCAGCACTGATTTAGAGGAAGTCTTACAGTTTTCTACAGAAATTGATGGTTCTACTTCTGTACAACCACAGTGCCGATAACATGGATCGACATGTCAGTCCATCCACAGGCAGTGACATTTGTGCAAGTCCCGTAACTGATAAACTGGCTTGTCTGTCTGGAGCCAGGAATCCTGCATGTCATATCATTAGATGGTTTAAACTGACTGCAGATAACAGGATTTAAAAATAAAAATTCAGTCTGGATAACATCACTGCCTTTTTCCTCCGGTCTCCATTTCTTCTTAGGGCGGCAGCTACAGAGAAGGTCTCACGCCAGTTCTTAGCCTACTTACAGAATGTTGCAGGGTGCACAGAAGTATCCGGAAATACATCAAAGCAAAGGTATCAGCTGTAGCTTCTTATGGGGGTTAAGAATGGAATGTAAGTGCTCATGACTGTAAAATCGAGGGTGAACTTTCCTATAGAACCGTAATTGAACTGTTACATGCTGTTTGCAAACGCCTCAAATATACATAAAATCCCTTTATCAACTCACTCTGGTGGCTGAAATATCCCCAGCACATTTACAAATCCTTGAATTCCATTTAATCTTGGAGATAAACCTACCCCCCTTCTAACTTTGAGAACGAATTAAAGTGAACTTCACCCAAAAGGGGAAACTCCGTTTATCTGCTTCTCCCCCTCTTTGGCACTTACATTTTTTGGGGGGGAGGGGGGGTCGTTGGTTGCAAGTACCTTTTTTTTTAAACATGCTTTTACCTTTCCCTCATAGCCTGGGGTCCATCCACTATAATTTTCTTTAGTGAGTCTGTTATGTTTATGTGTTATATCCATCTAGCAGAGGTATGACATTGTGTGGTTTCCTATCCACTACTGCTGATTTTGGAGATCCTCCTGCTTTATTCTTGAATGTCACCATGGTTTTTGTACTTGAATTGTTTTGTACTGTAACTTTCTTTTATACCTTTCTAAATAAAGACCACCTTCCCTTTTTTTTTTTTTTTTGTTTGGAGACCCCTCCCCCAGCCTGTTTTCATTACTGATCATGCATCCCTGTACCCAAATTTGATCAGTTTTTTGAGGCTGAGCTTTCTTTTGGTGAAATGTAATAACCACTCGGGTTTATTTACTATATATTTTCCTGTAATAGAGGATTAATATTTGAACTGTTTTTTCCTTTTAGCGTTTTGCAAATGGCGCTTCATAAATTTAGGCCAAAATGTATTGTGCTTATTTTTGGTTAAAAAGTGTATATTTTCCAAAATACTACTTTCCCACATTCTAAATAAAGTAAACAAAAACCCCAAAAAATAAGTTTGTAAAATAAAAATTTCTCATACTGCATGGGCATACTTATAGTTACATTCTACTCCTGAGTATGGGGTTACCACATGTAAGGATTTTTGCTGCCTGAACTTCAAGCTTTCAGAGGGTATAAATTCGACACATTCTGTTACTCCTAAGTATGCCCATGCTGTGAGTGAGAAATCTTAAATGTAATCTTCATTTTCTAAGTTTAGCAATCAGGAAATTGGATGCATAATTTATGCCCCTTGCAATTTTTTTCCCTCTGTAAAAATTTTCACAGCACTGTATTGAGTAATTGTCTGGCCAGTTATCACACCAAAATAGCCTGGACGTGAAGGGTGTAACATGTTGGTCCTGAAGTAGTTAAAGGGGCCAGTCTATGGTCTTTCAAATATTCATATTCACAAGTAGCTAATTGGCTTAAAAATAAGCCCTCACTGACCTATGTAGCCGCAGGTACTGTGCTCTTGTGATCTGTGGAAGAATTGCTCCAGTAAGTCCCTTTTTGTTCTCAGCACTCTGGTTCACTTCTTCCTGTCTTTGATATTAAAAGCTGGCAGTCTAAAAAGTCATTGCTGAGAGCAATAGCAATTTTACTTGCCAGTAAGAAGTTAAGGACACGGGTTTCTTTAAATCATTAGAACTGAGAATTTTGCTGCTACCTTCAAGTCTTTGCCCTTAAGCCAAAGGTCCAAGAACTCTTAACATTGTGGCAGAAAATTCCTCTAGACAGGAAGAATGAGGTTTCTGTGGCCTGCTGAATAACTGGAGGAAAGAGGTAAAATGGGGGCGACCATCACAGGCGTACCAGGACCTTGTGCAAAGGGCACTACAGGTGCAATCTGGAAGGACATCCAAATGGCACAAAGGGCTAATTAACCCTGGACTACAAAACTGTCACCAGAAGGGCGGGAAATGTAGACTTCCCCCCCATGGGAAAATTGGTGGGCACTCCAGGGCTAAATAATTAAGGGATTCCACCGTTTACTCACCAAGTCAGTAGCTGGAATAAGGGAGTTGACCCCTTCTCGCTTCCTCCCTTCCCCAGTGGTCACATACCCGGCAGGGGTCTTAGACTGTGATCTGCACCAGGCAGCTGCAGGCAGCTTCAGGGGTCCAGACCTGTGGTATAACTCCACTTGCTGCACTGTCAAGGAAAATGCTCAGAGGATACAGTTCAAAGCAACCGTACAGGCAAATCCTGTATCTTTCACAAGGTGGGGTTCAGGTATGGTCCCCCTAGGCTCTCCCAAGGAGTCCAACAATCTGGATGGTGGATAAAAATGTTGCAGCTGCATGATGAAGGAATCCTTGTGGAAGAAAAAACTTCCATAGTAGAAAGTAGACTTGATGCAGAGGCTAGCTGTGAGGGTTATATAGGGGGATGTTCTGTAGTCTTTGTTTTTGCCAGTGTCCTTTTACTTAAAGGTAGCTGCTTAAACACTCACCGACCACTTTATTAGATACACCTTACTAGGTTATTGAATGCTTTATAGCTTATACAGTCTGTAAACCATATTTATAGTGTTTATGGTTGTCTGCTTCCAATGTAAATTGTGCAGTTGTAATACCTGTGAAATCCAAGACTTTGTGTTTTAAAATGACTAGCACCAGGGAAATGCCTGTAACCAGTTTGCATGTGGATGGTGTTATGTTGCTGGCCGAGCATCTTTTTGTGGCTCTCTACCTCAGAATTGCTTATAACAAAAGGAAATACCTAAAATGGTGGCTTTTTCAGGACAAATGCTAGTCTGGTTGTATTACATTGAATTTTGTAGATGGCTACAGGAATTAACTTTTTAAGCTTAATTTAAATAGTAGGTGTTGGTTCACATATACAGTCAGGTCCATAAATATTGGGACATCGACACAATTCTAAAATTTTTGGCTCTATTCACCACCACAATGGATTTGAAATGAAACGAACAAGATGTGCTTTAACTGCAGACTGTCAGCTTTAATTTGAGGGTATTTACATCCAAATCAGGTGAACGGTGTAGGAATTACAACAGTTTGCATATGTGCCTCCCACTTGTTAAGGAACCAAAAGTAATGGGACAGAATAATAATCATAAATCAAACTTTCACTTTTTAATACTTGGTTGCAAATCCTTTGTAGTCAATTACAGCCTGAAGTCTGGAACGCATAGACTTCACCAGACGCTGGGTTTCATCCCTGGTGATGCTCTGCCAGGCCTCTACTGCAACTGTCTTCAGTTCCTGCTTGTTCTTGAGGAATTTTCCCTTCAGTTTTGTCTTCAGCAAGTGAAATGCATGCTCAATCGGATTCAGGTCAGGTGATTGACTTGGCCATTGCATAACATTCCACTTCTTTCCCTTAAAAAACTCTTTGGTTGCTTTTACAGTATACTCTGGCTCATTGTCCATCTGCACTGTGAAGTGGCGTCCAATGAGTTCTGAAGCATTTGGCTGAATATGAGCAGATAATATTGCCCGAAACACTTCAGAATTCATCCGGCTGCTTTTGTCAGCAGTCACATCATCAATAAATACAAGAGAACCACTTCCATTGGCAGCCATACATGCCCACGCCATGACACTACCACCACCATGCTTCACTGATGAGGTGGTATGCTTAGGATCATGAGCAGTTCCTTTCCTTCTCCATACTCTTCTCTTCCCATCACTCTGGTACAAGTTGATCTCGGTCTCATCTGTCCATAGGATGTTGTTCCAGAACTGTGAAGGCTTTTTTAGATGTCGTTTGGCAAACTCTAATCTGGCCTTCCTGTTTTTGAGGCTCACCAATGGTTTACATCTTGTGGTGAACCCTCTGTATTCACTCTGGTGAAGTCTTCTCTTGATTGTTGACTTTGACACACATACACCTACCTCCTGGAGAGTGTTCTTGAGCTGTCCAACTGTTGTGAAGGGTGTTTTCTTCACCAGGGAAAGAATTCTTCGGTCATCCACCACAGTTGTTTTCCGTGGTCTTCCGGGTCTTTTGATGTTGCTGAGCTCACCGGTGCATTCCTTCTTTTTTTAAGAATGATCCAAACAGTTGTTTTGGCCACGCCTAATGTTTTTGCTATCTCTCTGATGGGTTTGTTTTGTTTTTTCAGCCTAATGATGGCTTGCTTCACTGATAGCAACAGCTCTTTGGATCTCATCTTGAGAGTTGATAGCAACAGATTCCAAATGCAAATAGCACACTTGAAATGTACTCTGGACCTTTTATCTGCTTATTGTAATTGGGATAATGAGGGACTAACACACACCTGGCCATGGAACAGCTGAGAAGCCAATTGTCCCATTACTTTTGGTCCCTTAACAAGTGGGAGGCACATATGCAAACTGTTGTAATTCCTACACCGTTCACCTGATTTGGATGTAAATACCCTCAAATTAAGGCTGACAGCCTGCAGTTAAAGCACATCTTGTTTGTTTCATTTCAAATCCATTGTGGTGGTGTATAGAGCCAAAAATGTTAGAATTGTGTCGATGTCCCAATATTTATGGACCTGACTGTATGCAGTCTAAACGGCATCCAATCTGCATGACATGTGAAAAAACATCCTATGGTGCCTGTTTACATATGTGCGGATTCAGTGCGGTCTGAAAAAGTAATGTACGATTTCTGAGCAGTGCGGTCCGGTTCAGGTGCGGATTACAGGCTATTATATATTAAATAAATGCTGCAGCGCTAAATACTAGAGCACAGTTTATACACACAATATATAAACATGCATGATATCACTCTAAGGGTGATCAATAAATACAAAAGTTCAATGTAATAGTGCGGATCATGGAGAGATCCCAATTCAAGGTGAGTGAACGTCCTGATCCAAGGTGTGATGGTAGGTGTGATCACACAAATAGGTGAAAAACGCACTCACCAGATGTGCGTTTAATATACGCAATATGCAATCCTGCGTCACCAGGCCATAAAACGATCATCAGATCCCAGATCAGATTGTACCCAGATCACCATCCCGGTTCCACAGAAGTGAAGTCATCTGAAACCACTACCAGGTATCACCACCAGGGTCCTGAGTCCTCCAGATGGGCACTGCGAATGATAGCACTCACACAGAGTGCCCAATAAGAGACCTCATAGCGTGATACTGCTTTAGATGCTTTTATTCAGGGTAGGTTGGTGTGGGGTACATAAAAAGATTAACCAGAGCCCTGGACCCTATGAATACGTGCATCGCACGAAACGCGTCAGAGGGGACGGCAGCAGCAGGACACCTAACTACCTAGGAATGCATATGGTCAGTAAACTTTTTGGTTAATCTTTTTATGTACCCCACACCCACCTACCCTGAATAAAAGCATCTAAAGCAGTATCACGCTATGAGGTCTCTTATTGGGCACTCTGTGTGTGAGTGCTATCATTCGCAGTGCCCATCTGGAGGACTCAGGGCCCTGGTGGTGATACCTGGTAGCGGTTTCAGATGACTTCACTTCTGTGGAACCGGGATGGTGATCTGGGTACAATCTGATCTGGGATCTGATGATCGTTTTATGGCCTGGTGACGCAGGATTGCATATTGCGTATATTAAACGCACATCTGGTGAGTGCGTTTTTCACCTATTTGTGTGATCACACCTACCATCACACCTTGGATCAGGACGTCCACTCACCTTGAATTGGGATCTCTCCATGATCCGCACTATTACATTGAACTTTTGTATTTATTGATCACCCTTAGAGTGATATCATGCATGTTTTATATATTGTGTGTATAAACTGTGCTCTAGTATTTAGCGCTGCACCATTTATTTAATATATATGTTCGATTTGGAGGTTTTACTTGGTTACCTTTTCGGTGTATCAGCTGCTCACTAACGTTTTTGTGTATGCACATCGATACACTTTTTGTATTTAAGTCGCGCTCACTATAACATCTTTTATTACAATAGGATTACAGGCTATTGACTTCTATGGGAACTGTTTCTAAACCGTATGTGTGAACAGGATAAGATCCTTATCTAATCCTGTCCTGAACCTGATGTAAACCTGACATGAACTGGTGAACAACTACTGTATCAATTAGCTGTGAAACCTGAGCTTCAATCTGCACCACACATTTGAATCCGCTCTAACATGTTTGTGGTAGTTTAACATAAGTTATTCCCAATTATGTTTTCGTCTTCTACACCTTTTTTTAAGGTTCTTCCTCCACTGAGGGACGTAACCAACCGGCCTGAGGTTGGGACAACTGTAAGGAACAAATTGGTACGGTTGATGACCCATGTGGATTTAGGAGTGAAGCAGATTGCAGCTGAATTTCTGTTTGTTCTCTGTAAAGAAAGAGGTAAATTCTTTTCACTTTCTGTGCCAAAAAGACTGAAATTTCTCCATTGTGGACACAAACAGCAGTAAAAACGTGATGACTGGTTTTAAAACGAGTCAAGTTAAAACAAGTAATTTTTAAAAACATTGGTAGCCTTTCAGAAATTTATGTTGGGTTGTTTGGGTGGGAATATGTGGGCAGCTGTCTGACTTGTGGTAGCACTTGGCAGCTAAAAGGAAAAACCAGCCTATTACTGTTATGCAGCATTATTACATCGCAGTATTCAAGAAGGTTCAATTGATGTTTTTAAGGGTCAGAAGAGTAATATAAAGCATAAGTAATGCTTAACTTTTTTTCACCTAATCTTTCTTCCTTTTGCCAGTGGACAACCTACTGAAGTATACTGGTTATGGAAATGCAGCAGGGCTTCTTGCCGCTCGAGGTCTCCTGGCTGGTGGCAGAGGAGATCGCTGGTATTCTGATGATGAGGATACTGATACTGAAGAATACCTCCAGGCAAAACCAAAGTAAGAAGCATTTATTTGACAGCATTTGCAGGCGAGGTTTGGACAAATACTAGACTTCTAGTGGAGCCCTGAAGCTCCCATATGCCTGTTGAGCATCTATGCATGAAGAATATATTGAAGCAGGGCTCAAAATTTCAAGTCCTGAGCTACTAGCCAGGCCTTAAGAGTTACTCTCCACCAGTTGCCCAACCCAACCCCTGCCATGCCCCTAAACACGCCCTCATAAATTATCTTATGAAATGACACTGGTAGATGTTACCCACATTACATCAGGGCCTCCAATGTCCCCCTAAACACTCACACTTATTCCATGCACTTCATACAACCATAACCCCCCATAATCTTTCACTCACCAAACCATAACTCTACCAAGCATATCCTACCTTCTATCCAACCACCCAACCCAGCAGTACCTCAAATGCCCCATACTCCACCACCCATAATAACCATATAATCTTGAACCTGTCCAAACCACCCATACAGTGGGGCAAAAAAGTATTTAGTCAGCCACCAATTGTGCAAGTTCTCCCACTTACAAAGATGAGAGAGGCCTGTAATTGGCATCATAGGTAGACCTCAACTATGAGAGACAAAATGAGAAAAAACATCCAGACAATCACATTGGCTGATTTGGAAAGAATTTATTTGCAAATTATGGTGGAAAATAAGTATTTGGTCACCTACAAACAAGCAAGATTTCTGGCTCTCACAGACCTGTACCTTCTTCTTTAAGAGGCTCCTCTGTCCTGCACTCATTACCTGTATCAATGGCACTTGTTTGAGGTTGTGGACAGGTGTCTTTTATACTGATAACAAGTTCAAACAGTCACACTCCAAACTCCACTATGGTGAAGACCAATGAAGAACACCAGAAACAAAAATTGTAGACCTGCACCAGGCTGGGAAGACTGAATCTGCAATAGGCAAGCAGCTTGGTGTGAACAAATCAACTGTGGGAGCAATAATTAGAAAATGGAAGACATACAAGACACCTTACCTCGATCTGGGGCTCCACGCAAGATCTCACCCTGTGGGGTCAAAATGATCACAAGAACGGTGAGCAAAAATCCCAGGACCACACTGGTGGACCTAGTGAATGACCTGCAGAGAGCTGGGACCAACGTAACAAAGGCTACCATCAGTAACACACTACGCCACCAGGGACTTAGATCCTGCAGTGCCAGACGTGTCCCCCTGCTTAAGCCAGTACATGTCCGGGCCCGTCTGAAGTTTGCTAGAGAGCATTTGGATGATCCGGAAGAGGATTGGGAGAATGTCATATGGTCAGATGAAACCAAAATAGAACTGTTTGATAGAAACACAACTCCTCATGTTTGGAAGAGAGAGAATGCTGAGTTGCATCCAAAGAACATCATACCTACTGTGAAGCATGGGGGTGGCAACATCATGCTTTGGGGCTGTTTCTCCGCAAACGGACCAGGACGACTGATCCATGTACAGGACAGAATGAATGGGGCCATGTATCGTGAGATTTTGAGTGCAAACCTCCTTCCATCAGCAAGGACATTGAAGATGAAACGTGGCTGGGTCTTCCAACATGACAATGATCCCAAACATACCGCCCGGGCAACGAAGGAGTGGCTTCGTAAGAAGCATTTCAAGGTCCTGGAGTGGCCTAGCCAGTTTTCAGATCTCAACCCCATAGAAAACCTTTGGAGGGAGTTGAAAGTCCGTGTTGCCCAGCGACAGCCCCAAAACATCACTGCTCTAGAGGAGATCTGCATGGAGGAATGGGCCAATATACCAGCAACAGTGTGTGCCAACCTTTTGAAGACTTATATGAAACGTTTGACCTCTGTCATTGCCAACAAAGGATATATAACAAAGTATTGAGATGAACTTTTGATATTGACCAAATTCTTATTTTCCACCATAATTTGCAAATAAATTCTTTCCAAATCAGCCAATGTGATTGTCTGGATTTTTTTCTCATTTTGTCTCTCATAATTGAGGTCTACCTATGATGCCAATTACAGGCCTCTCTCATCTTTTTAAGTGGGAGAACTTGCACAATTGGTGGCTGACTAAATACTTTTTTGCCCCACTGTACGTGTATGTTTAAACACAGACATATGTACAGACACATGTATACACATACAAACAGAGACACCTGTATACATACACGCACAGAGACACATGCACAGACATATGTACAGACACATGTACACAGCCCTCTAAAAAGTTGCAGTACTTTGTTACCTTCACTCTTGGAGCCGGGTACTGCACTCTAGGGGGAGGCAGAGAGCACAGCACACACTCCTTCCTTTGCTTTCACTTTGCTCAACTATTGAGCAGTCTGACGGCTCACAGTGCGAGTGACCGAGCCGACCCTGAGTTCCAAGCCTGCTCAGCAAGACGGCCCTGGGGGGACACACTCGCCCCCACCTTATTTCCACTCATCAGTGCAAGCAGGCGAGTGGAAAGTTTGAGGCCTGTATTGAAGGGTCCATGTTCTGTGCCCCCCAATTTTCTCTCCCCCCTATCTTTAGAGCTTGCCTTCTGGTGGTTGATATGCATGCCATTTTAAAGCTTTTACCTTTTGCTGGAACATCATTTGTTTCTGTGCAAAATGCCTACTCCTAAAGAAACAGACATCTTTACCTGGGAAATGCACCAAGAAGTTTCCTCCTCAACAAAGCTGTTAAGGATTGACTATGTATATTGTGCAACTATAGGTTAACTTTGTTTGTTTTAGGAGCTATGTACTAGATGACGTGTGTACAGATCTAGTAGTGTCACAGCACAAATATTGTCTACTGCTTTTTAGATTACATAAAGAAAGTCCATGACATTTTACTTTTTAATAGCATACAAAAAGTCCCCATGTAGCTATAGCTTTTGGGCCTTGAGTCCCCATACCTGTGCTTTAGTCTACACATTGACCATAATTTTGATGCAAATCAAGAGATATTGTGCACATGTTTTTGGACAGTATAGCCACAACCTTTCTAATTGGCCCTCAACATACATTCACATAACAATGCACCTGACTTTCAGTCCAAACTAGGTTTCTGTTCATTTAGCTGTCTTCCTGACTTTCTGCAACCGAACTCTATGCAAACCTGAAAACTAGTTATATTAACAACTGCAAAAGCCTGACAGAGATGTCTAATACTTCCCTGTTCTACTATTGGAAAGATGCCAAAAGTAGGGAAAACTAGATTCAAAGCAGTAAAATTACTACAGTGTCTTGAAAAAGTATTCATATCCCTTGAAATATTTCACATTTTGTCATGTTACAACCAAAAATGGAAATATTTTATTGGGATTTTATGTGATAGACCAACACAAAGTTGCACATAATTGTTAAGTAGAAGGAAAACGATCAATGGTTTTAAATTTTTTTTACAAATATGTGAAAAGTGTGGCGTTCATTTATATTCAGCCCCCCTGAGTCAGTACTTTGTAGAACCACCTTTCGCTGCAATTAGCGTTGCAGGTCTTTTGGGTACCAGCTTTGCCCTTCTAGAGAGGAGCTATTTTGCAAAGAAGAATGGACAAAAATGTCAAAGTTCTGTCAGATTGGATGGAGAGTATCTGTAAACGGCAACTTTCAAGTCTTGCCACAGATTCTCAATTGGATTTAGGTCTGAACTTTGACTGGGCCATTCTAACACATGAATATGCTTTGATCTAAACAATTCTATTGTAGCTCTGGCTGTATGTTTAGGGTCGTTGAGACTGCGGCGGAGATTCACCTTCCAGCAGGACAAGTCTTTTGCAGACTCTAACAGGTTTTCTTCTAAGATTGCCCTGCATTTGGCTCCATCCATCTTCCCATCAACTCTGACCAGCTTCCCTCTCCCTGCTGAAGAAAAGCATCCCCAGAACATGATGCTGCCACCACTATGTTTCATGGTGGGGATGGTGTGTTCAGGGTGTTGTGCAGTGTTAGTTGTCTGCCACACATAGCATTTTGCTTTTAGGCCAAAAAATTTCAATTTTGGTCTCATCTGACCAGAGCCCCTTCTTTCCCATGTTTGCGGTTTTTCCCCCATGGCTTCTTGCAAACTGGGAACTAAACTTCTTATGGCTTTCTTTCAACAATGGTTTTCTTCTTGCCACTCTTCCATAAAAGCCAGATTTGTGGAGTGCACAACTAATAGTGGACAGATTTTCCCACCTGAGCTGTGGATCTCTGCAGCTCCTCCATAGTTACCATAGGCCTCTTGGCTGCTTCGCTGATTAATGCTCTCCTTGCCCGGCCTGTCAGTTTAGGTGGACGACCATGTCTTGGTAGGTTTGAAGTTGACCTGTCTGGTGTGTTCCTTCATGATGTTGTTTTCTCACTAATGTTCTCTAACAAACCTCTGAGGGCTTCACAGAACAGCTGTAATTATACTGATTAAATTACACACAGGTGGACTTTACTAATTAGGTGACTTCTAAAGGCAATTGGTTCCCCTAGACTTTAGTTAGGGGAATCAGAGTAAAGGGGGCTGAATACAAATGCACGCCACACTTTTCTGATATGTATTTGATAAATGGTTATTAACCTTTATTTTTTACATTTTCCTTCCACTTATCAATTATGTGCCACTTAGTGTTGGTCTATCACATAAAATTCCAATAAAGATACATTTGTTTTTGTTTGTAACATGACAAAATGTAGAAAATGTCAAGGGGTACGAATACTTTTTCAAGGCACTGTATGTAAATTGAGATGGCATAAAGTGCTGAGGGTTATGGTCTGTTCCTAGGATGGCACCATCCCTTGTATCTTGTTACAGACTGTAATAAAATCCCTGAAACGTTCTAGCCCCTCTTTTACATCACCCAGAGCTAATAAAAAAAAAATCTAAGTTGGGCCTAAAATGAACACTGTTTTAGAATTCAGAGATTGTAGATGTTTTACCAAACTCATCCTCTTGTGTTTCAGCATAAATCTAATCACTGGTCATGTAGAGGAACCAATGCCGAATCCAATGGATGAAATGACAGAGGAGCAGAAGGAGTATGAAGCTATGAAACTGGTCAACATGTTTGACAGACTGTCCAGGTAGTGTGATGGAGCTTTTGCCTATGATAGATGTATTGGAGACCAGTGGTGCTCAATTATGTATAGGGGCTTCAAGGGTGGCTCTTGAAAACCAAAAGGTCACATAATATTTAGTGTAATGTCACATAAGATCTGACATACAGTAGGTATCTTGTAGAATATGGTCATATGTGCTGTTGAAGACTGGGGACACAGGTGAGGATTAGCACCATTCCCATCACACATGATCAAGGAATAGGATCAAGTAACGTCCAAATGCTTTTATTCAGCATGTCACAGGGGAAAAGAGCAACATTTTGGAGCCATGCAGGACCCCTTAGGCAGGCATAGGAAATTGGTGTGCAATGGTGCTGAGACATTTAACCATTTACCCTCCAGAAGATTTACCCCCCTTCCTGACCAGGCCATTTTTAGCGGTATGTCGCTGCGTTACTGTAACTGATGATTGCACGGTCATGCATCGCTATACATAAATAAATCTATGTCATTTTCCCCCCCGCAAATAGACCTTTATTTTGGTGGTATTTGATCACCTTTGAAAAACAACAAACAATATTTTTTACTTTTTGCTGTAAAACCAGTCCAATAAAAAAAAAAATCGAATTTCTTCATAAATTGTTTGCCAAAATGTATTCTGTTACATGTCTTTGCTAAAAAAAAAAAAAAAAATCCCAATACGTGTAAATTCATTGGTTTACATGAAAGTTTTATAATGTCTACAAATGGCGATATGTATACTGTAAATTTTTATATATATATATATATTACTAGTAATAGTGGTGATGAGTGACTTATAGCGGAACTGCGGCGGGCATTCTGACACTGGGTTGGAACTGATTAACTGCCACTGACATCCTCAGTGACACTAATACAGTGATCAGTGCGAATAAAAAGCACTGACACTGTACTAATGATACTGGGCAGAAAGGGGTTAATATCTAGGGCGATCAAAGAGTTAACTGTGTGTTGTGTGTTTTACTTGGGAGACATGCTGCTTTGTATCTCTCTGCTGTGCAGAGTGATACGAAATAGCATGTCCATGTTGACAGGAGAGAGACCTGTATTTTTTACACACAGGTTTCTCCCCTGTCAGATTTCCCTGAAGCCCACCGAGTGCCAAATCCAGAAGGCCTTATGGTATCAAAGAAGACAATTGTGACCTTTGCCTCTCGTGGGCCTCTTGGTATATTTATCACACCGACACAAAATCCATGCACAGAGAAGTAGGTGATCAAAGTGTACTACTACCGGTTTGTTTTGCTCAATCTAGTCCACACTTTTCTGTCTTTTGAGTCAGTCCTAATCTCACTTCTGTGGCAGGAAGCAGCTTTTGAATGGACCAATCATTTTACCCACATATGTCACTGCACACAGAATATTTTGTGTAAATCTTGAAATATCTATGCCTCTATGTGGCTGTGAGCAATATTCCCCAGAAATGAGCAAATTGCAAACACTACAGTTATGGCCCCTCCAGCATCATGTCTTCTGTGAGTTTATCTATGGGGCGCTTAGATATTTATGTCTTGCGTCAGCCTAAACCAAAAAGTCATGCAGGGTTCTATTACCTCTGTGTGCCAGTTGAGGTGTTGGCTCTTTGACACCTTGTTTAAAAGACAGCTGTTGTCAATGCAATTAAAGCAGAATTAAAGGGAGCTGTACCTTCCTCCAAAGATCCCTGCCCCTCGTCAGAGTCTTCTTCTGTGTGATGGTTTTTGGCCATCTTCATTGGCTAGAATGGGATGATGTCAGTCATATACAGGTGTTAGTCATGAGGATACACGTGTCCAATTGAGTTTACAAGACAGATACTACTGAAAGCAGGCAGTTTTGCTGACTGCTCATCTGAGCAAAAATACACAAGACCCTCACAAACAGTGAAATAGAATTTGCAGTCTGGTACTTTTTTTTGTTTTATCTATGTTTTTTTTATTTTGGGGGGGGGGGAGTGGCTCATTACATCTGGTCTCTGATGGAGGTTACTTCAAAATGTCTCAGCCCTGTTGTATGCAGTTATCACACGCCTGATGAACAGGTCATGTGTGGCACTGCTATGTTGCACTTTTCTGCTGTGATGTGATCTTTTGAATAAAAGCATTTGGATGTTACATGAAGATCCATGGTGTGCTGGCAAATATGTACGTTGATGCTACAGGAGATGGTCAGAGACTGGGGATATACTATAGGACAATACCAGAATGTGTAACTGCCAGAGATCATCACCATTACAGACCTGTAATAAATCTGTGCTCCTACATTTGTCCTTCCTAGAGCACCCTTACAAATTTATCACCAATTTAACATTACTCGCAACAAAATCTATTGTAAGAGTTAAAAGAAAAAAAATGGAATGGACAGCACAAAAAAAGTTAAAAACAGATGAAAGAGCCAAATCATTTTCCTAGCAGAATAAAGTATAATGAATATATATACATTTTTATTTTATTTTTTTACAAGCGTAAACACCTTGTGGCTTTAATAAGTACCAACGAGCCACAGCTTGGATGCCAGCAGCCAAGAAAATGAATTGCCCTTGTCAAGATAATTGTAGGAATTTATACTACCAGTATTAGAATTTTAATGTAACCTAAAGGAAGTCTCGCTAGACTTATAACCCTTTAGGGGACCATATAGACGTAGTCCTGGGTCTTGTTGGAATTTCAGTTTGAGAGTTACAGTGCTGGTGTCTGGCAGCAGGGGACGCACTGGAGACCAGTGCTGCCATTCACAAAAGATCATACCCTAGTGAACTAGTCATTCATGAAAGTGAAAGGTCATACAGTGTCACAGGTCTGTGTATCTGTACAAAGAGAACAGATACACACAGAGCTGAGTAATCTTTTACACTAAATGAAAAATCATAATAGTAAAAGAATAGTCATCCTAAAGCAAGGGCAAGGCTGTTCCTTCCCTCCACAGGAACACCCATAATCTAGACTTAAGACTGGGGTGGTGATACAGCCAGAAAAAGAAGGGCTTATACTCCTAGAAATGTATTAGTTCTCCTTTAATGAACACACAACTTACTAAAGCTTTTCCACATTAAAGGATAAAATCTAATGTATGCTTTTAAAAGTTATATTTTAAATCTGCAGCTTTCATTTAAAAGGCAATGCTATGAGGACCCTTCACACCTACAAGTTCCATTGCCATTATTACCTCATGTACTGTACATTAACATACATGAATAGGCTACAAAACTAACAATGGGACAAAAACTGAACCTCTACAATGGAAGGTGTTGCTCATGGCAAGTTCATCAGTACCTTACCTTTTGTTGGTGTGCTATACTAAATGCATAACCCCACAACACAATGCATGAAAGTTCTTGTGCAGGCTTTTCCTGTTACATATTGACATTCATTATTACATTACATTGAGTTTATATAGCGCCAAAGGGTTTGCTCAGCGCTGTACAATAGAGGGGGGGACAATACATGAAACATTACAGCAACTACAAACAGCACACGAGGGGGTTATAGGGCCCTACTCTTTCGAGCTTACAATCTAGGAGGGAGGGGGTAGTGGTACAGGAGGAAGTGGCTGTGGGGGATGAAGTGGTAGGAGGAATGAAGGAGAGCAGCAGTTAGGTGAGGGTGGGGTAGGCTTCCCTGAGGCATTCCTTTCTCTCCTAATAAAGACTACACGTGGATGGTTCAATACACATTATAACACTGATCCACTGATGTATAGCAGTACTGGTGATCTCCTGCAACCACTGATGATTTAAAACCACTATGAATGAAGGTGAAAACCGTATTTCTTTACTATACAGGACACAGGAGTTGATTTCTTAAGATTGTGTTATACGCTGCTACCTTTTTGGGTATTTCCATCCTGGTAAACATTTTGCTGGGTCTGTCCCTTATATCCTCATATAACCCACTTGGCGAGATTCCCGTTTCTTTACTAATGTCTTGGATACCTTCTGCTGTTGGAGATGAATTGGGGTTATATGGGGACACAAAAGGCTGGACCCAGAGAAGACTTTACCAGTGTGCAATCACCTAAAGGTAGCAGTGTAAAACCCATGGTGCAAGAATCAACTGTCTGGGGTGATACTCAAAGATAGGGAATTTTGACATACTGGTAAATTCCATATTTAAAAAAAAAACACACACACACACAAGTATCGTAGTTGTGTCTGATGTACGGGACTTTTGTAAAATAAAGGTCATTTAGGGTTTAGATGTGCTTTAAAGTGGAAAAATAGAGGTGTGGGTTTGGTTATGCCAAAACAGCTGTGCTTACATGACGAGTGAGCCATTTTCAATGTAGGATTTCAAAGGGATCTGGTTAAGGTTTTGTGCTACCAATCTTTTTGACGACATTTAGAATCCTACAGTGGAAGCCTCAGCTCCAATTATCCTGGTGTATGCTGTGTTATATATTCAGTAAAACAGAGTGTATATAAGAGAGCTACTGCCAGCCAGCTCATTAAAAACACATAATTACCAGCTAATTGTTTGGGTGATGCTGCTCCTGCTCCCTTTTGTAGCTGCTGACCAAAGAAAGTCACGTCACAGAAAGCCGACAAAGTATTGTTGGAATTCAGACTTCAATTAACAGAAAATATTAATAGGCAAGGAACATAGTCTTGTGAAACAAGGGCCTGTGGCTGAATAGTGTTTGTTTCTCTGGCAAATCATTACTGTCATAATGAAAAAGAGCTGGCTTTTTGTGCCTTACTGCGAGGGCGAAGACTGATTGAGGTAATACATTGAGTTGTAGGTAGTGGTTTAATTAAACCTGTGCAGGGTCCTGCATGATAGCTAGGTGAGTGGATATTTCTAAGGAGATATGGAATCAGGTGATAGAATACGACAGAGAAATACTCCTTTTTAAAAAATTTTTTTTTTTTTTAATTGGTTTAACTTTTTACATTAAATGTTGTAGAGAAACTGTGTTCAGGTTTCATGTAGCTAATCATAAAGCATATCCCAAAACAAATTTAACACAGTGCAGCTTATTGGTCCTTCGATGTGGTGGCTGTATTTAAATAAT